GCTTGTTCTTTTTGAAAGGGCAGATTACTCTATTTGCATAAATGTACCACAAAATTAGAACTCTTTAGTGTGCAGTGTATAGAGGGCTCTTAAGCACTTGAAAAAAAATCCAACTTTTTCCTCATTTTCCCCTCCTGTTTAAGTCATGTTTCATCATTGGGTTATTATACCCCCGCTCCGAAGGAGAGAGGGGGTATACTGTTTTACCCTTGTGTGTCTGTCTGGCTGTCCGTCTGTCTGTCTGTCCGTCTGTCTGTGTGTCTGTCTGTCTGTCCGTAACAAAATTTTCGTCACAGTTTTCTCAGCAACTACTCATCGCTGATGCTTGAAATTTTAGCACACTCTTTGTTTAGGCATGCCATATTGTGGGATTCATTTTTGTACGAATCTGATGTCAACTTCATGTTCATTCTTGTGTCTGTCCATAACTGAACTTGTGTACATTCACGTCAAAGCGGGGGTATTACTAGTGAGCATTGGCTCACAGAATTCTTGTTTTCTTTAATTCTTTTGGATGCCATTTAAACATTGAATTGTGAAGTGTACGAGATACATGTAGTATTACATGTACTGCAATAATTATTTTCGATAGGTCTTTCTTTGTTAACACGATAAAATGCACTATTCCATCCTAAAATGTTTTCAACTATGAAAACATTTTTACACATTCTTCTGTGCCAACCCCAAAGTTGCGGGGTATCATTATCATAGTTTACAACTGATTATACGTCAAACGTATACGACAAACGTTTATTAAAATCAATTAAAATTAATAATAGTAATTGGCTATATGTTGACTTATAGCTTTGAGTCTTCAACCTGTACACTGATGATTAATTGTGTCTCGAACTTGATTCTAATTGATTTTCATGGTCAAATTTTAAGAGTCAAGTACACACTTAAGGACATACGCAACATACCATACCTACTGATAATTTTTCAAGATATTCTTAATATAAGATTATAGTGCCATCAGATGTTCGTAGACAAAAAATCAGCATGCATTACCAGGGGTTTTGAAAAGATATCAATTGATGAAAATTCTTGTGTAATTCAAAGAAAAATATACAAAAATTACTGTACATATATTCTGGATGTTTTGTTTATCCAAACTTGTTTTAGAAGAAGTGTACAATAGCATATATAGACATTGAATTATAGCACCCAGTTCCTTTAAGTATTGGAACTCTTCAACTCCAGGGAAAAAGACAATAAAGTTCAAGCTACATTGCCTATGTCCTTAAAGATCAAAATTTGTGAGTGAAATAAAATTGTTTAAATATTGTTGTTTTTATGGTAGGATGGTCCAAATACAGTATACAATACGTACCTTTTAAACCCGGTGAAGTTTATTGTGTGTAAATCTTGATTATAAGGCATAGGTTCAGTCATAGATGTAGTGTGTGTCATACGCAGGTACAGTTGTGGATGTTGTTTATAAGGCACAGGTAAAGTCATGGATGTAGAATAAAGTGTGTGTACTGGACAGGTACAGTCGTGGAGGTTGTTTATAAGGCACAGGTACAGTCATGGATGTAGAATAAAGTGTGTGTACTGGACAGGTACAGTCGTGGATGTTGTTTATAAGGCACAGGTACAGTCAGGGATGTAGAATAAAGTATGTATATATGCACAGATACAGTTGTGGATGTTGTTTATAAGGCACAGGTACAGTCAGGGATGTAGAATAAAGTGTGTGTACTGGACAGGTACAGTCAAGGATGTTGTTTATAAGGCACAGGTACAGTCAGGGATGTAGAATAAAGTATGTATATATGCACAAGTACAGTCGTGGATGTTGTTTATAAGGCACAGGTACAGTCATGGATGTAGAGTAAGATGTGTATACTGCACAGGTACAGTCGTGGATGTTGTTTATAAGGCACAGGTACAGTCATGGATGTAGAGTAAAATGTGTATACTGCACAGGTACAGTCAAGGATGTTGTTTATATGGCACAAGTACAGTCATGGATATAGAATAAAGTGTATGTACTGGACAGGTACAGTCGTGGATGTTGTTTATAAGGCACAGGTACAGTCATGGATTTAGAATAAAGTATGTATATATGCACAGGTACAGTCGTGGATGTTGTTTATAAGGCACAGGTACAGTCTTGGATATAGAGTAAGATGTGTATACTGCACAGGTACAGTCAGGGATGTTGTTATAAGGCACAAGTACAGACATGGATGTAGAATAAAGTGTGTGTACTGGACAGGTACAGTCAGGGATGTTGTTTATGAGGCACAGGTACAGTCATGGATGTAGAATAAAATATGTATATATGCACAGGTACAGTCAGGGATGTTGTTTATAAGGCACAGGTACAGTCATGGATGTAGAATAAAGTGTGTGTACTGGACAGGTACAGTCGTGGATGTTGTCAATCAGGCACCGGTACAGTCATGGTGTAAAATTCTAGAGTTGTCAGGACAGGTACAGTTGTGGATGTTGTTTATAAGGCACAGGTACAGTCATGGATGTAGAGTAAGATGTGTATACTGCACAGGTACAGTCAAGGATGTTGTTTATAAGGCACAGGTACAGTCATGGATGTAGAATAAAGTGTGTGTACTGGACAGGTACAGTCGTGGATGTTGTTTATAAGGCACAGGTACAGTCATGGATGTAGAGTTAGATGTGTGTACTGGACAGATACAGTCGTGAATGTTGTTTATAAGGCACAGGTACAGTCATGGATGTAGAATAAAGTATGTATATGTGCACAGGTACAGTCGTGGATGTTGTTTATAAGGCACAGGTACAGTCACGGATGTAGAATAAAGTGTGTGTACTGGACAGGTACAGTCGTGGATGTTGTCAATCAGGCACCGGTACAATCATGGTGTAAAATTTCTAGAGTTGTCAGGACAGGTACAGTTGTGGATGTTGCATCCCAAGAAATGCCTTACGATTTTCTTTGAGCTGAACTCAATATAGGTGCTATTAACGCTATTCACCGATATTCCCTATAGATTGACTCCAGACAAATTATTGCAGAATCTTAAAGAGGTGGATCTAATAAAAATATTTACTTATAAAATATTTTCTTCGGATGTTATAGATAATTATATCATTAATTCCCTTTAATATGATCAATTATTTTAATGCCCTGCATATTTCAGGTATCACACCACAGTTATCGACCAGTCAAGATGTTTTAAATTGTTCCATGCATATATAATTAATTTTTATTTTCTTTTGAGAATTTGTTTTTTTTTTTTTTTTTTTTTTTGGGGGGGGGGGGGGGGGGTTCTTCCAGCCTATTTTTACAACTTTGACACCTGTGCCTAGTAAATTTTATGTACTTTGTAAATAAATAAAGGGGTTTTTTTTTTGTCAGGAACTACTCTTTTTCAGGGCATAGGAGGCTACGTCCTGGGGTGCTCTTGATATGTTTATATATAACACATTGAAAACGCGTGGAGCAGCCCATTCCACCCGTATACATGTATATCGTAAGACATATATTTATGGGAAAAACCTGTGTTTTTCATTGACACCACTTGCGTGATCAATGAAATGGGTGAAATTAATAATATTGTGAAGTACTTATACTTTCTAACATAAAATTAAGGATTACAAATTAATTCCAATATTTATTTTAATTTCTTTTTTATTTTACTTTGTTTATTGTTTACTCGTATATTTTCAATAATTATACTAGCATGTTTCATTAAATTCACCATTGTTATTGAGCACGTAGGAAATTGAAATCATGCCCCCAGTCCCCCCCCCCCCCTAAAAAAATAAAGATCTGGCTCATATTGTTCTCCGAACATAAAGTTTTAAAGCTTTAATTTTAAATCTGTAAAAGTTTTGGACCCTTCCCTAAGCACTGCTGACATCGTTTGTCTCGGTATCACTGTCATGGGTAATACATGTATAAAGATAAGCGTTAATTGCGCTTTGATTGAATTCAGTCTAAATCTAAATCGGAGAAAATCCACAGAATTTCGTGTCGTGGATGCTATTAATCAAGCGCGGGTTGAGTCAGTGGTAGTGTGTATGTACGGCACAGGTACAGTCGCAGATGTTGTATATTAGGCACAGGTATACAAAATGTACGCTGTAGTAAATGTTACTTTTTAGAGATTATAGCGATCCATACAATGGATTTAGGCATAGTCAAGTTTACATAATTATATTTTCCTCGATATATGCACTAAGCCAGTTATCGTTACCTTTTGGCGATTATAGCCTTCCATAAAGTAGATTTATTTGAAATCAGAAATTTTCTTTCCTCCATAATAACACATTTCGTATTTTTCATTAAAAAAAACAATCCATACTTAATTAACAACATATAGTTTAATACGTTGAACAATCCGGAAAATCTTGCTCTGACATTCCGTTTTTTGATATTAGTGAGCAGGTACAGTCATGGATGTCCGGTACCAGCATTGCCGAGTACAGTTGCGGATGTTAGCTGACAGACCCCACTCTTCAGAGGTCTGCGAGAAAAATAAGGGTAAACGTTGAGACTATGCAGCTCAGACGTGGAACTTATAACATGTAGTTTTCTATTCTCTATGTAAAACCGATCAAAAACTGTATTAAATACTCGTTTACATTGTAAATAAAATGATTATTATTTTACTTGCGTATTTTGTACATTTTTATGCATGAAAAACATGCTATATTGCTTAGTGGAGTAAGTCTTTTTATGTAGATATTACTGCGCTGTGTGATTAGGTCACGTAATGACCTATGACCTTCGAAAAACTTCATACAGGTATGAAGATATTTGCTCTCTGCATGTTTATATAATAGAGAGATACCACAAATGTATATAAGTATGTCACTGTGTGAACTTTCCATTAGTATAAATGCATGAATATGAAATGTACAATACACTTTAACATCAGATGCACGAAACCTTTAATTTGGTGTATCTGTAGACTCTTATTGTATTTAGTTTTTATATTTTTCATAAATAAAAAATACGTATATAACCATTATTATGTAAAATAGAGAGATAAAAATTTGTGTTGCAGTCTGACAGCAACAGCTGCTGCCATTGGTGCTGCGGGCGTCCCACAAGCTGGTCTGGTTACCATGACGATTGTCTTGACGGCGGTCGGTCTTCCAATTAATGAGATCACACTCATTTTGTCCATTGACTGGTTTTTGTAAGTTTTTTTTGGTTGCGTTTACATTTGAAAGATTGGATCCCATGTAATGGATTTCCATAACTTTCATAACATTTTCCTCATTCTCAGGGACCGGTTCAGGACGGCAGTAAATGTGTTGGGGGATTCTTACGGGGCAGGGATCGTGGAGCACCTGTCTCGGAATGACATCTTAAAGCCCCTGGAGTACCAAGTGGAACTTTCCAATAAACAGGAGAAAAATGGGATCCACCCCCCTCAGCTCACTGATGATAATTGTGATACTAAAATGTGATTGATCAGAATCTGTGAAATCCAGAGTTGTAGAACCAGAGTAAATTGTTTGTGGGATTTTTCCCCAAACTAGGAACTTTGCTCTTAGATCAAATTCCCAGTGTCTGCTCAGTTCCTTTGCTCTCCATTATTCATAGCTCCGGAAAAGCAGGACTCATACGAGAACTTTCCATATCAGATATTGTTTTCAATATTTTGATGAAGTTTATCAACATCTTATCGACACTTTTAATGAGCAGAATATTTTAGATTTGTTACTTTTCATTGTTTTTATTTAGCTACTAATTATCAGTTGTGATCTTGTTTTGCTTATTCTTTTTTTATTTATATACATTTTTTTAAATCAATAAATAATATTAAACAAAGTGATACTTCCTGGCAGTTTTTATTTCGAGTGTTCATTTGGTAAGTTATTCATAGAATGAACCTATCCTTTCTTATTACTTCTAGCAGTATTACCAAATTGCTTACTTCTATTCGACTTAGGTCAGTAAGAATCGATGGGAAAAGGGGGGAGGGGCATCCCCCTCCGCCATGATAATGTCTATATATATTATGTTATGGACAACAGAAGTTATAGTCAATTGAAGTCATAAATTTCTTGACTAGCTGATGTCTTGAATCATTCTCAATGATCAATGTATCACATTTTGCTTAGCACTTAGAAAAAGAAAATTGAACAAATTTGCATAATGAAATGAAAAATATATTGAAATTGAACCTAAATTGATCTCACAACGAGTTTGAATTGATTTTTCAATGAAATGATGCAAGTAAAAGTGCGAGCGAGGCGAGAAAATGTTTATTAAATACCTGTTGTTATATTTCAGGACACTTTTCTCTAATATATTTGTTTTAAATTCCATTAAAGTAGAATATACCGGTACTTCGAACCCAGGAGCCGTGTTGTTATTATTTCAACCATTTACTACTTACATGCAAGGCTGTGACACATAGGTTATTCGCACCTTTAAAAATGAGAAAAATGGGTTTTCGAAATTCATAATCCTTCTGATTTTAAATGTTTTACAAAATTGAGAATAAGCCCTCATTCTTTAACTATTGAAACTGTCGTTATAAAGAATAGGAAATATATCTGTAAGTCTGACAGTATAGAAGAGGAACTCCACTTTTTTTATGCCTTATAACTTATAAGGCATAAAAAAAGTGGAGTTCATCTGCTTATAAGTTATAAGCATAAGTTAATCTCAGCGAGATTCGTAGAGACTAAAAATTTTGGTCTGGTTTCGCGTAGAGACACCAGTTCAAAGTTTTAGTCTCTACGAATCTCGCTGAGATTAAGACTAAAAATTTTGGTCTGGCCTGGTGTCGCGAAGAGACACCAGACCAAAATTTTTAGTCTCTACGAATCTCGCAGAGATTAAAGCGTAAGTATGTCATGATTGAACAGTTTAAGCGGGAATGGAGTACATGTACATTTGAATGTAAAAACCTTAACTCTATCTAATAATAGGGACAAGTTATTATTCTCGTAAAAAATGAATGCAGTATTATTGAAAGATTTGCTCATTTATAGTTGCTCACAGTTTTTCAGTTAAATTTAGTTTATTCACTCAAAACCATATAAATGGTACACGAAGTAAAACAACAACAACAACAACAACAACAAACAAAGAAAAAGCAACTAAAACAACAACAACAAAAACGGATGTACATAAAATACAATGTGTCAAGTAAGAGGTGATTCAGTCTAGTCTGAGGGAGAACAGACTAAACAAGTAATTTTAGTAATAAATGGACTTTTTTTTAATCTCAACATCTTCTGAGCACATAATTTCACAAAACTTCGTAGTGTTTGGCGTACCACAGAATTTCTGGGTCAAGAATGCTTTCCGCAAATATCCTAAAACAGTACATTCTAATACCCCATTCATACGACGAAAATTTGCTTATATTATGTGTGCAGATTTACACATGAGTTAATTTACACACATAAGTAAAAGTTAATTTGCTATGCGTTCAGACGAGATTTATGTACTATAAGTAAACCCTTATATTTTTATTTAAGAAAAGGAGATAGACAGATTCAGAATTGTGAATTTTGCACAGAGAAGGGGTATTTCTTTACTATTTGGGTATGGGACTAACTTTTGGATGTTCCAGAAGGAAACTAGTAGAAAAGTCAGATCCACTGATTTGAAGACCGAACCGTTCTTAACAACTTAAAGGACGAAGATTGGTATGAGAATTTTCGAAAAAAGAAGGAGAATTTAATTCTTTAAAATTGTGAAAAGTTGGAAAAAGCTTTGGTCTCGGCCCAAAGATCGTAGAAGAGTCGTTGGATGTAAAGAAAAAGGTGGCTGTTACCATCTACTGGTTAGCGTCTTCAGTGGAATATTATAGGACGATTGGAAATATTTTTGATGTTGCGAAATCTACCGTTTGATTGCGAACATCAAGTTTGCGAGGCCATTATGGATCATCTGCTTGAAGAATATGTGTATTTTCCAGAAAGAGAATGAAAATGGTGAAGATAACAAACTATGATATAAAGATCTTTAAACAATACAGAGGTAACAAACACGGACCACTGGTAATTCAAGAGGTGGGATCAGGTGCTTAGGAGGAGTAAGTATCCCCTGTGAGACCAATGTTATGATCAGGTAGACGGAACATTCCATAGTTAAATTTGTATAAAACAAAGTCCTAATAATTGGTGAACAAGTCAGCCAAAATACCATCCAGAGATAGGTTATATTTGCTAACAATATCATAATAGTCACCATATAGAGTTATTTTCCGTCGGGCTCCATATTGGACGTCAACAAGCCCAGATTCCTTCATTATTCAACATTTTAAACTTGTCATGCTGGACAATGAGGCAAAGAAAACAGTTTTTCTTATGAGTATATATTAACAAAAAGTTCCCTTAATTCATAAGTTAAGTAATTCAAATTTTTTTGCCCTTATATTTCTGCCATACAAGTTTAAAATTGGTTGGTCAAAGAGGAAAATTTACTAGTTTGACCCCAAAGATGGTGGCCAAGGGAACTAACTCAAAGGGAAAATACTTAATACGAAAACTATCTATTTACGAAATGCTGACTTTAATCGAGGTTGTTGACATCCCTGTAACGTCAACTTATCTGTCATTAGCTTGCCTCTGTATAAAAACTGAAAAAGGACGAAGAAAGTCATCAAGGGCTAAACTGTGGTGGGGTGATTGATACACGCATATCCATATCATTACTCCTAAGCATTCACATGGAGACTACTTGAACAGGAAGGGGTTCTACCCATTGAATCTGCAGGGTGTTTGCGACCACAGCTATACCTTTAGAGACATACAAATGGATTGGCCAGGAAAGGTTCATGATGCCCGCTTTTTTTGCAAATTCAAACTTTTATTTCAGAGGTGATAATGGCTCCTTGTTTCCAGAGTGGAGAAAGCAATTTGGAGAAAGTACTGTGCTAGACAGTAGTACTTCTTGGCGACCCAGCGTATTCTTCGAGTACTTGGCTTTTGAAGCCATACACCAATTAACAGATCTACCCTTACAAAAACTAAATTCACTTTCAACTATAGTTTAAGTAGAGCAAGAATGACCTTTGAAAATCCGCTTTTTTAGAGCTTGGCTTTCTAGCCGCCATATTTTACACGCCAATGCATACACAACAGTAACAATGCTTAAAATGGAGATTGATGTAATACACAAAACAGAAAACTAACATAAGTAAATTTGCTGCATGTTCATACGACAAAATTTACACACTGGAGCAAATAATTTGCGACAATATGTATGCAAAAGTTAATTTGCACCTTGACCTGACCAGGTGCAAATTTACTCAACTGTGCAGAATTTGCATATGAGCAAGTCAGTTCATAAGACAAAAATTGCACATGTAAGTAAATTTACATATGTGTAAAATATACTGAAGTATGCAAATCGTGTCGTATGAATGAGGTATAAGATACAGTTGTGCTCTTCTCCTGTCTGTTTGCTTACACATACATATGTAAATTACAAAGTCGTTATTTTCTTTGAACAATTCCATATTCCTGTTTCGATTGGGATATGGTGATTTATTGTTCTAAATTTTACGAAACTTTTCTTTAATTTACATGGTTACAATGATAAATATTTTTCACATTCAAAATTAGTTTTAAAATGTTTTATATGTCTCTGATTATTTTTAAAATTATTCAATGAAATGTGTTGTATTAATTTATGGCAATTATTAAACATTATTTCATTTCAACTATATCATTTGGAGATCTCTCTAATTTATATAGTAATTTATGTTTTTTTGTACCTTGTATCTTTATACGCCCACTGGATCCCAGAATTGGAAATAAATTACTATTAACTTCAAACTAATCTCAGATACGAAACATGCAAGATTAAACTATCATGGAAATTGCACTCTCTAACATGGAGAGATAATAAAAGACCAATTTCCGTTTTATTATCAGAGTCATTCGAGATCGGAGATGGTAAGATTTAAATTATTGCGTTTTACAAATAGACTTACGGTTATTTGGTAACCATTGCTTCATGTAAATTTTTATATAGACAGAAAAATATATTCTACTTCATACTTGCGTAAAGTCAATTATATTGCTAACTGCATAGAGCAAATTCGAACTTGATATCATGTTAGTCTTGACAGCTGCAGTTGCGACAAAAACATTTTGATTTTTATATATCGATATATATATATATATATATATATATATATATATATATATATATATATATATATATAAGCTACATGTATACTCTTCTATATAAAACTAAAGCCAGAGATAAGTGTGGTTGTTATAAAATATTTGGTGTAAGTAAAGCTAACTTTATTGTTATCCGTGCTACTGACTTTCAGCATGGTAGGTTAAAAGTTAAAACAACAGCCCAACAGGAGGAGGCAAAGCGGAAGGAACGAGAGCAGAAACTTAAACTTTACAATGCAGCTACGTCAGCAGCGTTTAAAAAAGTAAGTAGGTCACAATAATATAATATGTTGATGGTGCGAGCGTTATGGTGAGCAGAGATATCTATATATTCAGTTTTATTTCAGTTAGATCTGCCTCTTTAAACCACATTTGACATTTGGAAGGTCTAGACTCTGATGACACATATGTCATATTTTAGTTGCATTACCATAATATGGAGTCTGAAAAGGGAAAATTTTAACAAAGAATTTTTAATCTACTAGGAATTTATATGCAATATCCATTAAATCAGGTCATCTTTGAAATATAAATGTTAACTTTGTTTGCCTTCTCCCAACTCTTGGTTAAAAAAGAAACTTGGGTCGGTAGGTAGGTTGTTGAAGGGATGAGAAAATTCAGGAATAAAAAGAAAAAAATATTGTTTCCTGGACGTTAGAAAAAGTTTTGAATAGGGTCATTTTTAGCCAGTCAGTCGGGAGAGGGCTAACAAATAATTTTTTAAAGATGGCCTCAAGGTGAGTTTATCAGTTGGTGAACTTAATTTGTTGTTACCACGAGAACATAGTTTGCAGCAAGGTGCAATTCACAAAGGATTGTGTGTCCAGAGGTTACTGTGGAAAAAAATTGATTTAGATCAATATGCAAAGTGTATTATATTTTCTCTTCACCTAGGCATTGTCATAAGAGCCTGCAGCACTCGCTAGTACAGGAACAGCAAAAAAATGTTTGAAATTTTTCCACAGAAAATTTAGTTTAACTAGAGCCTTGAAACGTTTTTTAAGAATGATATCTGCCTTTAGCAAAGGGTTATGATATGAAATTATAAGATGATCAGATGATGCACAGTTAACTAATTCAAGTATTTTCTTCACAGAGATTAAATGGAGAATTTGATGAAGAAGGATTGAAGATTACAGGCGAGATACTATCTGTTAATCCAGATTTCTATTCTCTTTGGAACTACCGCAAGGAAATATTTCTGTTCATGAAGGAAAACAAGTAGGTAGACCTCTTCTCTAAATTGCATTTTTAATTTTGATATGAATTGAAAAAAAAAATAATAAATGCACATTAATTTAAACTATTATATTTTCTTTGAATCATGACATTAAATTCAGTTGAATCTGTATGAATTTTGGTGTCATATTCTGTATATTGCATGCAAATGATACTACGAGTTTGTTATATTTCAGAGAGACAGACTTTGTACAGAAGCTGATGCAGGATGAGCTGGGATTTCTTGAATCCTGTCTGAAGGTTAATCCTAAGTCATATGGAGCCTGGCATCATCGCTGCTTCATCATGGAAAACATGCCAAACCCAGACTGGGAGCGTGAACTCCAGCTCTGTAACACATTCTTGGAGTATGATGAGCGAAACTGTGAGCCCAATAGTCAATCAGTCATATATAGCAAAGATTCTTAAAATAAGAAGAAAGAAAAATTGCTGATATCAAAATATTGGTCTTAATATGAATATTTGGAAAGCAGTTATGAAAAATTGCATAACAATGAATATATAGCATTAAATACTACCTGTTCTGCTATGTGTTTGAATAGGAAACCTAAATCTGATAACTTTCTCTTATAGTTCATTGTTGGGATTATCGTCGCACAGTTGTTCTGGCCTCAGATGTTGATTTAGAACAGGAGCTTGCGTACACCACAGAGAAAATTCAGACTAACTTCTCCAACTACTCATCTTGGCATTACCGCAGTAAACTTCTCCCTGTCATCTTCCCAGATCCCACCCACCCTGTCAGGGTACAGGAGGATATTTTACTGCAAGGTCAGGCCCACAAAATCAACTCATATCAAAAGTTTTAATAAGCATTTGAATGTCTGTAAAACATAATAGTGTCTAATCATGTCTGAGTGATTGAAGATATATGTAGGATCTCCTCATGGTATCATCTTCGCTAGCCAAGTGTCCAATTCGTTTACCCTCATTTCCGGAGATGAGGGTAAAACGAATCTGACACTTGGCTAGCAAAGATGCCATGGTATGTAATTGGATATAATTTTTATCCAGCAAGTTGTGTTTTTTTCTATCCCCAAGCCTTTATGTCACCAATATTATGCAGCATAAAATTCTGCAGTGTGTAATGAAATGAAGAAAAAAGAAAGTTTCTATGTTTTTTTTCCTGTACAGAACATGAGACAGTTCAGAATGCCATATTTACTGATCCAGATGATCAAAGTGCTTGGTTTTATCACCGCTGGCTTCTGGGTCGAGGTATGCTTCTAGTCTGTCGTTGAGAATGGATTGTTCAGATTTACCGGTAATATGTGAATTAATCAAAGAGAAATTTTGGAAAAAAATTATAATAAAGCAAAAAAATATATAATTATGTATATATTTATATTAGGAATAAAGAAACTTTGCTGCAGTTTTATATTATGAAAACTCTTGTTCATGTATGTAAGGAATGTTTGACATTATCTATTCCTTGATCATGTTAATATTTTTAGGCAGGAAAAAATTGCAGATCAGCTGTGTCCATGCCTCTTGTCACACAAACCAGATAATAGTGCTTTTGACCAATCACATTAAGGTATAAATCTCAAGGCCTTGTTCTTGCAGAAGAGATATGAAAGATACATGTTCTTGTAGATTAAAAAAAATATTCTTGCCATACTTTTTATCAAATAGTGGTATCACTCAAAGAAGCCAATTAGCAAAAAAGATTTTTTTTATATCAGATTTCACATTTTATCCAGTGTATGCTGTTTATGTTTGATTAGTTTGTGAAATTAAGGACTACAAATATATTGACAGGTAAATCATGGACACAAATTGTCTGTAAATATCAATAGCACCTCCATAGCAGGGGAATGGAAAAACGTGAAAGGGTCAACTAATTACAGTAATATATGGGTAAGTTTGGAGAAAGGTTTAAAAAAGTGGGTTACCTTTAAATGTTAATTATAGTAATGTCTGCAGAATTATTGACATAACTTTTGAAATTTCATTCACCTAAAATAATATATTGTGAGATTCATATTTCAAGAAGTTTAAACAGAAAAAAAAATAGGTTAACCATTTGGAGTTTGTTCCCTTCATTGGTTGATCTTATTGATAATGGTAGATAATGGCAGTGAAGGATGGCTTACAAAGTGAAGAGGACTTGTCTATTGGGGTGACATTACTTACAGAGTCCGACTGCACACAGTTTTCACAAGGCCTTCAGCTTAATCAGGGTCAAGAGGAAGCTTGGACAATGGCTGGCTACAAGGCAGGGACAAGATTTAGTATTGAGCTCAGTGCTGCAGCCACCTCTACTCTGGAGACAGAACTGGAGGGGATCAAAGAGCTACACTCAGTGGAGCCAGAAAACAAATGTATGGACATCACTCTTAACACCATCTTTTATTTCATCTGGTTTTTAAAAAGTATGCATGTGTATTCTCAATTTTGTGAATGTTTCCCAAAATCAGTGGACTAGTACAACTGCCTAGCATGAGTAATGAAGGAATAAAATAACTAGTACAAATGATGGAGAAATAAAGCAGAACTCTTAGATTTTATTTTATTTATTTTGTTGTTTTGTTTTGTTTTGTTTTTTTTTGACACAGGGGTGCTTTTGACCTTGGTGTACTTGATGAAGGCCATTGATCCTGTGCATGAGAGGTATGAAGAAGGCATCAACGAGGCTATAAATAAACTCAGTGCTGTGGATACCAAGAGGAGGGCATTTTATTGGGATTTAAGTAAGCTTTTTACATTCAGTTAAAAGTGTCTTCTTTAATAAAAAGCTCTATTAATCAACTTATTTTTAAATTTAACATCTGTATCTTTAATATAGGAATCCATTTTTAATTGATGTGGATTTTTAGAGGTTGTGTCACCAATGGTTATTTACTTCTGCTGGTGTAACCTTATTTTACAGAGAGCAAGTTTATGATTGAGAAGATCCTGGATATTCAGGATGTAAACACACGTGAGATGACCTTGACTGGCCTTGACCTGACTGTCCTGTGTCACACAGAGTGGATGGTGCTGATCCAAGAACTTGATGTTTCACAGAACCACCTAACTATCCTCAAACCCCTGAGTAATCTCCCCTGTCTAAAGATACTCATTGCCAATAATAATAAAATAGAAACTGTAGAGGGTCTGCAGCATTGTAAACAACTTAAAAAACTCCATCTACAGCAAAATGGTAAGTAAAAACAATGTGTTTGATAGACATGATTTGAATCTGGATTAAATATTAGTTACATGTAATTCATTGGTCTCTATCAACATTTTTCTACCTTTATTTCAGCCTTACAAACAGTACAGGTTTTTACCCCCTTGGCTAGCCTCCTGTTGGAGGAAGTCAATGTTGCTGGGAATCCTTTGTGCAATATTGAGAACTATACAGACTCACTAAGAGCAGTGCTTCCCTCCCTGTCCCCCAGCTGAAGACAGTTACCCCAGGGCGTGTACCCTACACCTGGTCCAAAATATGTCGGTGCTTTGTGATGTCAGACGAGGAAATTAGAAAGAGAAAGCTTACAGAAACAAAATGTGATATTTTTTAATTTAATGATCAGTATTTAATAAATTAACTTACATGATGATTTATCATACAAGAGTATTTCATACTTTTTGTTTTTTACTGTGTCTGATGAAATATTTTGATTATGTTAAAGAAAATGTTTCAGGAGAATGTTTTAAAAAGTGGAGAATGGGATAAAAACACAAATGGCTTTTTTTTTTCAGATGTAAATGTACAAGAAATTTAGCTACCGGTGTAGCAAAATTGTAAATTCTATGAGGATGGTTTTTATGTTAAGTATTGTAATTGTACTGTGTAATCTTTTTATGTACATGTATATAAAGGCATGTGAAAATAAGCAAGCTAGTAAAGAATTGACAGTATTTACTGTAGTGCAATATCACAAATAGAACAAAAATAAAATTCTATTCAATCATCATGTTCTTTGATATACAAGTACAAACAATACTGCTGGTTTTGTGGAGTTTCATTCTTGACCAGTTGTCCGTATGAGGAACATAAATGTCAAGTCTCTCATCACTTCTTTATTGATTTGGTTTGAGGAATACCAGATTGCAAGTAATACGACAAAGGCTCAAGTGAGCTTTTGTGATCAAAAAGTGTACAGCATCTGTCGTCATTTGTAAATTTTTCACATTTTCAACGTCTTCTCCAGAACCTCTGAACCAATTTCAACCATACTTGTTACAAAGCATTCTCAGGTGATGGGGGGTTTATGTAAGGAGAGATAATGAAGAAATATCGGTAGTAAAATTTCAGTGGAATTACTTAAAAATTCTTCAGGAACTACTGGGTCAGGAAAGAGGAAACTTGAAGCTTCCTGAGGTAGTGTAGATTCAGATTTGTTCAAATCGGGTTGTAGCACCACCCCTCAAGCCCTGGGGGGGGGGGGGGGGGATGAAATTCATAAATTTTGTTTCCCATTACTCATAGATATGCTGTGCCAAAATTGGTTCAGCAGTTCAAGAGAAGAAGCTGAAAATGTTAATGGATGACACACAACAATGAACAAAAACAGATAGCAATAGGTCACCTGAGTGACTAAGGTGCCCTTAAAAAACAAAACAAAGAACTAGTAGTAGCTTTCATATTTAATTTATTCATAAATACATTAAAACATGCATAATATAATTTAAATTATAAATTGAAATGGTTTTTTGGTATGAATGTCACAAATTGGCAATAATAAAATACTTCTCTCTTGAAATTTACACAGAAAGCATTCACCATCCATCAATACTAATAATACTTCCAAATGAACTGTAAAATGACACTGTAACACTAGAATACATGTAGCAACACACACTGTCAAGTAAAACATATTAATGTTGTAAAAATGCATGAACTTAAGTACACATACATGTATATATCAGTCATAGATAGAATTAAGTTTGACATTTAATCTGGGTATTCATGTGCTAAAAATATACAACAGATTCTAACAGATGTACAACTAAAGGGTTTTGTGTCAATGTACGGTAATAAGGACTATAATCAGGAACATTTCTGTTTTCCTTAAATTTAGGACAACTGAATAAAAACTTCAAATTTGGGTCCAGCGGACGAAAAAGGTAACCATCTCCCATTTGGTCCAACTTATAATAACCTAAAAACCTTGGAAAGAGCCAGTCAGTTATACAGGAATGTTGAATTGTTCTCAAACTTCAGAATTTTGAAAGCTATGAGAACAAAATTTGATACAAACAATGGGATAATAAAATTTAGAACATTTCTGGCATTTTGGGTTTTGGAAAGATGCAATGATTAGGTTTAAAAAAAAAATCATGTATAGAGTAAATGAAGTTGCACCTAGACATGGATTTGTTTAATAAGCTAATTAGAAATTTGTATTGAAAAATAATCTTTGAAATTTAAGCATGAGTATCACACATCACAGTTATTCAATAATTAAAAGCAGGATCCTCACCCCCTCCACACATACTCATAGGCAATACTTCCACATAAAAGTAATAAACTCTCAATTTGACCCTCACATTACTCTTACAACACTACTGGGTTAAAATCTCACATCAAGTTATATAAATAAAATTTTCACAAATATAAAATTATAATCTTGAGACATAGACACTATGCTCCCCTGTCTCCCATATTAAATCATGTCTTAAATATGAAAATCCCCCCCCCCCTCCTAAAGAAAATTATAATTTGTAATGAATTAAAAGTGAAAATCCCCCCCCCCCCACACTTCCCAAAGAAAATCATAATAATAGTGGAATTATAGAAATTTCCATGAGAAGTACTTGAGACAAGACTGGAAACTGATTTTGTTTTAGGAGTGATGAGGAATAAAATCATCTGACAATGAAAAGGTGAAGAATATATCAGCAGATGGAAAAACAAGAGGCCCATGGGCCACATCGCTCACCTGAGCACATTGGCTTGGCAAAAGCACAAATCAGTTCAGTATTGAAAAGATTTACGGGGGGGGGGGGGGGGGGGGGGGGGGGGGGGGGCTTAAATTTTAAACTACCTGATGATGCTTCCATTTCAATATAACAAATGGCTTTGTTGTACTTGAGAAGATTTAAAAAAAAATTCCCATATATTCCTTCTAAAAATTTGATCCCCTATTGTGGCTCCTCCCTATCCCAGGGGTCATCATTTGAACAAACCTGAATCTACACTACCTGAGGATGCTTCCATATCAATATGACTAAACATAGCTTTTCTGTTCTTGAGAAGAAAACATTTTTTCTATATGTTCTAATGTAAAACTTTCGACCCCCATTGGGCCCCACCCTATCCCCGGGGGTCATCATTTGAACAAAACTGAATTTACACTACCTGAGGATGCTTTCATATCAAAATGACAAAACATGATTTTCAGTTCTTGAGAAGAAGATATTTTCCTATGTGTTCCTATGTAAAATATACGATCCCCATTGTGGTCCGAACCTATCCCCGGGGGTTATAATTTTAACAAACTTGAACATACACTACCTGAGGATGCTTCATATCAAAATGACTAATCATGGCTTTGCAGTTCTTCAGAAGTAGATATTTTCGTATATATTTCTATTTAAGACTTTGATCCTCCATTGTGGCCCCACCCTACCCTGGGGGGTCATGATTTGAACAAAATAGAATCTACACTACCCCAGGATGCTTCCATATAAATATGACTCATCATGGCTTTGCTGTTCTTGAGAAGAAGATTTTTAAAGATTTTTCCTACATATTTCTATGTAAAACTTTGATCCTGCATTGTGGCCTCGCCCTACCCCCAGGGGTCATGATTTGAACAAACTTGAATCTACACTACCTGAAGATGCTTCCATATAAATATGACCAATCATGGCTTTGCTGTTCTTGAGAAGAAGATTTTTAATGGTTTTTCCTATATATTTCTATGTAAAACTTTGATCCTCCATTGTGGCCCCGCCCTACCCCCAGGGGTCATGATTTGAACAAAATGGAATCTACACTACCTGAGGATGCTTCCAAATAAATATGACTCACCATGGCTTTGCTGTTCTTGAGAAGAAGATTTTTAAAAGTTTTTCCTACATATTTCTATGTAAAACTTTGATCCTCCATTGTGGCCCCACCCTACCCCCAGGGGTCATGATTTGGACAAATTTGAATCTACACTACCTTAGGATGATTCCACATGAGTTTCATCTTTCCTGGCCCTGTGGTTCTTGAGAAGAAGATATTTAAAAGATGCTATTAATTTTTCACTAATTCTTTATTATCTCCCCTTGAAAGAGGGCGTGGCCCTTCATTTGAACAAACTTGAATCCCCTTTACCCAGGGATACTTTGTGGCAAGTTTGGTTGAAATTGGCCCAGTGGTTCTTGAGAAGAAGTCGAAAATATTAAAAGTTTACAGACAGACAGACAGACGGACGCCGGACAAAAAGTGATCAGAAACGCTCACTTGAGCCTTTGGCTCAGGTGAGCTAAAAACAATGTGCCATCTTCAAAGTCGGGACTGCATAAAACAGAAATAGCTAAAAATCCTCCGAGTCTCTATAACAAAATTTGTGACAAGCCTTAAGTAAGGAGCTAATTAAATTAAGCGAATGATGGTTTTATCGAATAAGATGTATTTTCATATACTTATAAAAATCAACTGAGGCTAGCTTGGAATACTGCTTCTCAGAGTAACAATACATATATATCACCCAAGGAACATTGATACCCCATTTTAAAATTTGTGTAGCTTTTCTAGAATAGTTGGAAGTGTTCTTATGTGAGCGGAGTATGAATGAAGAATGGATTACAAACTGATTAAAGATTGGGTTTGATCAGATGAGGTCAACTGAGCCTCCATTCATGTGAGGTAAATTATTTAATGAGGTAACTGTTCAGCTCTATCAGGTTAACATATAGATAGTATTTGTAGAAAATTCCCAATAATGTTAGAGAAAGTAAATGGCACGCTAAAAATGAATTTAATTCAAATCAAGGAAATAAATTCAAAAAGAACTCAATATATTGTCTAACACCTGGATTGGTCTTCTTTCTTCCTGAACAAGGATGACTGACTGACTGAGATGATCTGAGTAGATGTCTGTTCACTGCAGACAGCAGTAGATAATGGCGTAATACAATGTCCTTCAGCTGCCTCACCAAGGTTAAATAAGTCTCTATGCCTTTAGTTTTATTGTGAATGCTGATATATTGAAATGATCACACATTTCTTGAACCTAAAAAAAAAAAAGTAATAACTGATATGTTAAATGATTTCCATTTGATAAAATCTTAAGTTTATTCATTTGAACATTAATACAACAATGTACCACACGTCATCCCCAATTTGTACTTAAATTCTGAAGGTTTATTTGAAGTTTTACTTCTCGACAAGATCCTAAAGCATTCAGTACGATTTTCCTTACCACATGGACCCCAAAGTGAAGATGAGCAGCAGTGACTAGAAAGCAATAGCCCCAGAGAAGGTACACCTCTACATGTCCGAGTGACAGCAGTGAACATGCCGTTACTATAGTAACCAGGGGTAGGAGGAGCCAGTTGATGAGTTCACATCGCGTATCACTCATCTGACTGATGATTAGATGACACTGAAATTCACATTTAATGAATCATTATATAAATCATCGACCAAATGATTTGAGCTAAAATCAGGATGAAATCTATAAAGTCTTTTTTCCAAGTGTTGCTACAGGCAATAAACATGTACAAACTGGGTATCCTCTATTTATAGATAACAATAGTATTACATTAAATATTGCTAGACAGAATTCTTTAGTATCCTACAGTGTATGTAGAATAAATAATAGATTTATTTCCCATAGTATTCCACCAGAGTTCTTTATTCATTCATAAGTACAACCTACCAAAGTTACACTTAAATCAAGCTCTAGCAAATCAATGTGCTTTACAGCATTACTGCATGTGAAAGATGTGTAGGTATGATTACCAATTTTAAAGCAATAGTGGCATTTTGTAATCAGTCCTACAAATATCTACTCCTCTGTCAGTTAGGTAGACAATACTTACAGCAATGTTAGAGAAAGCAGTCCCTGTGGTCCAGTAAAAGAGGCGGGGCTGTAACTCCATCACCTGGCAGCTGGACACGCGTGCCCAAAAGACCATTAGAAAGAATAAGATAAATGTGGACACCAGGGGGCGCATCATCTCCCATGGATCATACATTTTACCTGTCTTATCCCGATAAGATCTAAAATAAACATAACAGTGAGACCTACATTTTAAATTTTATATTTTGTGTGGAAGATACTGTTATATAAATTGAAGGCATGCATGCACAAAACATGCACATAGAGATCAACCTTACGGATGTGTACATTGATCCTGTTACTAACTTGTTTTAAGCTCCAATCACTTACTTGTATATATTCCAGAAAGTTGCAGGGAAAGTCAAAACAAAGAATCCAACTGTAAAAATATGAAATTTTTTTAAAGACTGCTTAACGAAATACTGATATACTGGATATCTCAAACTTAATGGAATTGTCTACAAACTTTGAGATATCCAAGGGTTCAAGATATCAAAGTTGTTTCTTTAATTATATTACCATTGGGACACACATTGGTATACCCCCCAGCCTGGTATTTGACAAACAGCCTACTTAGTGTTCAAGACACCACTGCTTAACTCTAGTATTACAGAAACTTTTAAAATTACAAGTTCTGTGTACAAAATGAAATACATAATTGTACAATAATACCGTGGTACACCAATATTTAATCTGAATGATAAACCAAAAAACTGGCATATATAACGCAAGGCATCTTACAGGTATGAACAGGGAAAAAAGTACATAGTACATGTATAACAACTGACAGTTAATAATTACTATGTGCCATTGATGGCTATTTTTGCTGAGTAAGTAGTGGAGAGAGATGACTAAGCTCTACTTACCATACATCCCTGTCTCTATAAACTCTGAGCAGTAGATATCAATTACTGAGTAAGTAGTGGAGAGAGATGACTAAGCTCTACTTACCATACATACCTATCTCTATAAACTCTGAGCAGTAGATATCAATCACTGAGTAAGTAGTGGAGAGAGATGACTAAGCTCTACTTACCATACATACCTATCTCTATAAACTCTGAGCAGTACATATCAATCACTGAGTAAGTAGTGGAGAGAGATGACTAAGCTCTACTTACCATACATCCCTATCTCTATAAACTCTGAGCAGTAGATATCAATCACTGAGTAAGTAGTGGAGAGAGATGACTAAGCTCTACTTACCATACATTCCTATCTCTATAAACTCTGAACAGTAGATATCAATCACTGAGTAAGTAGTGGAGAGAGATGACTAAGCTCTACTTACCATACATCCCTATCTCTATAAACTCTGAGCAGTAGATATCAATCACTGAGTAAGTAGTGGAGAGAGATGACTAAGCTCTACTTACCATACATCCCTATCTCTATAAACTCTGAGCAGTAGATATCAATCACTGAGTAAGTAGTGGAGAGAGATGACTAAGCTCTACTTACCATACATCCCTATCTCTATAAACTCTGAGCAGTAGATATCAATCACTGGAATTTTAAATTTCCACATGTTCTGACCCCCAACAAAGGTCAAAAGATATACTCCTGTCATGGCCTGTGGTAAAATAAAAAAAAGTAGGTTTTTGGACTTTACACATACACAGACTATACATATTTTTATTAACATAAAACTAAAGAATAAATTTCAATAAAGGATGTGATTAAGTCAACATTAATTGCTGAATGTAAACAAAATTATAACTTTTTAGATTACTTCAAATCATTTTTTCATATTAAAAGAAGATAACTGGCTATGAAAAGTGGTGAAATTAATCTGACTTGTTTAAAATTCAGACAACAGCACAACAATAAAGCCTTATTGTTGGCGAAATATAATGAAAAGAAACAATTTCAATACTTTTTGTTCCAAAGACTTGCATTATACACAATGAAACAATAGTCGAATAAAATTTTTAACTCAAGGTCATGTTCAATATATATTTTGCTGTACACACTTCTTTAGTGTTACTTTTGAAGTATGACATATATATTCTTTATTATCAAATACTGTTCTGTGAGCAAAATGTTCATATGAGAATTACCAGTTGGCTGAGATCATAGCCCCAGGGTAGAAATAAGACAAAATGTTCACATGAGAATTACCAGTTGGCTGAGATCATAGACCCAGGGTAGAAATAAGACAAAATGTTCATATGAGAATTACCAGTTGGCTGAAATCGTAGCCCCAGGGTAGAAATAAGACAAAATGTTCATATGAGAATTACCAGTTGGCTGAGATCGTAGCCCCAGGGTAGAAATAAGACAAAATGTTCATATGAGAATTACCAGTTGGCTGAGATCGTAGCCCCAGGGTAGAAATAAGATTTTGGTGTTGTATTTCTCCCAGTGAGACAGGATAAAACACAACATGACACCAGTCACGATGAAGTACACTCTAAACACCCCCACTCCATATTCCCCACGGCCAAAAATAGAATACAGAGCCACTGGCAGGAAAAGGGTGGCCCAGCTGTCTAGTCCATGGTCAAATAACTCCCCCAGAGGCGAGCTGGACCCTGTTCTCCGTGCCTGCTTCCCATCAATGCCATCTGTTGAGATTATAGAAAGTGTTTAATTTAAAAAGTATGAAAGAGATTTTTATTTATAAATGTTTGAGGTAATAGATTATATAAACCAATCAATATATACATATTATCAGCTAAATATGACATTCTCATTTAACTCTAACACTGAAAACATAAGTAGGAAGCTCTTTTATTTCAGTTTCTTTAATGATTAATTATTAACACAGCTACCCTAAAAAAAAATTGCATGTTCTTTATACTAGTAAATCAAATATTTTACCAGGGTTGTCTCTAAGATTTAAAATAGCTGGGGACATTAAACAAGAGGCTCAAGGGCCTTAACGGTCACTTGAGTACAACAATTTAGAGGATCCATAAACTGATAAATGAAGCTTTGTTGTCCAAAAGCAAGAAAAATAGTATGATTAAGATCAACAAAATAATTGGTCTATCTATCTGTCCCCCATTCATCATTATTACCATGCACACTTTTAACAAAATATCTATTTTTAACCCCATATTATTACCTCTCACATTGGCCTCACTTGGCCTAATTGAAGAACATTTAAGAAGATAAGTTATTTTTGTTTCATTTTTATTCATCTATTATTTCCAAGTCTACCTGATCATTAAAACTATGAAAGTACTTTTTGTATTATACAATTAATGTTCTTGCATAATAATCTTTCAGATACATTATCTACAGTGATTAATTATCAAAGGTGAATGGCAAAGGGGAATAACTTCACTCAGTAGAATACAAATTAATAGAGCCCTAGCCAGGACCAGAACACTTGACCAAATGGTCCAGATGTTTAAAATTCTGGTAAAAATACCCTTGCTTATTAAAACTTTTACTCTGTTTGCCTCCAATATGCCCAGGAGCAGAGAAGATTTTCCAGAAATAATGCATTTTCACTATTGAACACAGTCCTAACCTAACACCAGAACCCATGACCCAGGGTCATGAAATTTACAAATTTGGAAGAGGTACCCTCATCATCATACCTATGCAATTAGTTGAAGATTTTCAAAGAATTCACACATTTTCACTATATTATCAATAGAGCCCCCCCCCCCCTCTCAGAGAAACAACAGAACCCCTGTGACCACAAGTTTTAAAAATTTTGTAAAAGCATCCTTGCTCATCATAACTATACATTTGTTTCTTTGCTTTATAACCAGGAGTAGAAAAAAATATTTTGAAAGAAATAATGATTTTTCACTTTATAATCAGTAGAGTCCCCCCCCCCTTTTACCAGAACCCCTGACCCTGGGGCCATGAATTTCACAATTTTGGAAGAGACATTCTTGCTTATCATAACCATGCACTTCCTTTGCTTAAATAATACCCAGAAGCAGAGAAGACTTTCAAAGAATTGATGCATTTTCACTGTATAATCAATAGAGCCCCACCCTAACACCAGAACCCCTGACCCTGGGGCCATGAATTTCACAATTTTGGAAGAGGCACTCTTGTTCATCATAACTATATTCTTAGTTAGTTTATTTAATACCCAGGAGCAGAGAAGAAGATTTCCAAAGATTTAATGCATTTTCACTATATAATCAATAGAGCCCCACCCTAACACCAGAACCCCTGACCCTGGGGCCATAAAATTTACAATTTTGGGAGAGGCACTCTTGCTCATCATAACTATGTTCTTAGTTAGTTTATTTAATACCCAGGAGCAGAGAAGAAGATTTTCAAAGATTTAATGCATTTTCACTATATAATCAATAGAGCCCCACCCTAACACCAGAACCCCTGACCCTGGGGCCATGAATTTCACAATTTTGGAAGAGGCACTCTTGCTCATCATAACTATGTTCTTAGTTAGTTTATTTCACACCAGGAGCAGAGAAGAAGATTTTCAAAGAATTAATGCATTTAAACTTTATAATCAATAGAGCCCCGCCCTAACACCAGAACCCCAGACCCAGGGGCCATCAAATTCACAATTTTGGAAAAGGCATTCTTGCTTATCATAACTATGTACTTAGTTAGTTTATTCAATACTCAGGAGCAGAGAGGAAGATTTTCAAAGAAATAATGCACTTTACTGTATGATCTATATAGCCCCACCCTAGTCCCAGAACCCCTGACCTTGGGGCCATGAATTTCACAATTTTGGTAGAGGGTTCAATGCTTATTACAATCATGCCAACAGTTTGACTGCTTGATGTCCAGGAGTAAAGAAGAAGATTTTTAAAGATTGCATTGATTTTAGTGTTTTTTGCCCCACCCCTAAGGCCCCAGGGGGACAGGGACCATGAAATTCATAAATTTTGTCCCCCTTCACCCATACATGCTATATGCCAAATTTGGTTGAAATTGGTTGAGCGGTTTCAGAGAAGAAGCTGAAAATGTTCAAATGTTAACGCACGACGCGCGCCGATGGACGAAAACAGATAGCAATAGGTCACCTGAGTAAACTCAGATGACCTAAAAAGGATGTCTGGTGCTCCTCCCCTAAGAGGGAGTTGAGGGGGAATACCAGAATAATCATTATAGGCAGGAAAATTTCCCAAACTCCAGGTCTTAGGGACAACCCTATTTACAGAACTTGTGATCTTGAATATATGTAGCTACACATGTTTGTTTGATTTTTACCTAAGGTGTGTGACATGAAGTTGTTAAATGCACAGACAAGCCACACCCAGTTAGGAATGGGGGGACATTCAGGATGGTCTCTACTGGCAGAAAAAAAGTGGGGATCATAGTAGGTCAAAAGGACAAAGTTCATCATCAGCTGACCAAATCCTGTCAAGGTTAATACATTTGGTGCGATCCATTTTGGAACAAACTGAAAAGAAAATCAATAGTAACTGTTATAATATTAAATGGGCTCATTATAATATTAAATAGGCTCAAAGGCCTTTTTAACTGAGTATTGTGAGTTATGAAACAACCAAATAATAGCCCCACCTAAGATAGAAACTTTGGATTCATTTTCAGAAGAGTTTTAAATTTTTGGTATAGAATACCTTGCTTATATCTTAATGAATATAAAAAGTTTATCTTCTAGATGTCAAGGTGCAAAGAAAGTTCTTAAAATATTATGTATTTTCAATTAATCAACTTAGTCTCTCCATTAAGCCTGCATGGTGGACGGACAAGAAAACAGATATTTCACAATCTTTGTATCGGGCTAACTGCTAATAATAATTATACAAACAGTTTGCCTGTTGGATATTCTGGAGTATAGTACAAAAGGTTTCCAAAGACATAAGTATTTTTCAATGTATGTCAACTAGACCCACCTTGGGATATGAACCTTGGATCCAAGGAACATGAATTTCAATTTTGATAGAGGGACAGCTGCTCTTCATAATCATACAGTCTAACTGCATGATGTCCGAGAGCAAAGAAGACGATTTTCAAATCATAATAAATTTTCAAGGTATACCCACTTTCACCCTACTATGCAGCTAAAATCCTGCAAATCCTTGCAGGGCTCTAATGACAATTTATGATATCAAATAGATAAAGTTTGATTTACCTCAACCACCCAGTTCCAAAAAGGGTGTGTTATGTATATGCTAACTGGGCTTGTGTCTACTGCACTATACTGAAAAACAATGAAGAATACTTATTATTTGCAATTGACAATTCCATTTTGCATTGGATACATGTACATATGTGATAGGGTGATTTATTTCATATATTAATTATTATATTTCAGGATTAAATTAATTCAGTTAAATTGTCATATTTATTTCTTTACAGCATTTCATTTATTGAATAAATCCACATGGAATTATTTACATCAATATGTGTTTATTGAGTTATTTATAGATGTATGACATCACAGTGGTCATTTAAACCCCTGTCCCTTTCTATATATATCTTGTGTAGTGTCCACGTAGGCCAACTTGGATTTCATTGGTTGGTTAGTTTCCCTCTCTTTTGGTTTTTACTTAGTTAATTACTTTTGTTGGAGATCTTGGTCTGAGTAGACATATTGGCCTTTTGATATTTTATGATTTATTTATGACAATGACCAAGACAGGACAGAATGTAAGTTTACTTTTACTGATTTCATTATTTCTATATAATTGTTTATCTGCTAAATTACCAAATAATAATATTCTAATATAAAGTATGAAAGTTCAGTTTGTGTGATTATTTTATGACTTTGTAAATATTCAGAGTAATAAGTATATTTTATATCTGTGACAATAAGTGTGTAATATAGTAAAGTTATATTTATATTATTCATACACAGATCACTGAATAGAGTACAGCTGTGTTCAGCTATATATATACATGTATATTGGAGTTATGGCTCTATATCACATATAGGTATGATGTATATATTTTGTATATTGTCAATATAATTATATTATTCTGGAAGAGTTCAGTATAATTTGATCTCATTGTTTTATCTATATATTCCAGAGTGTTCATACTTTGTACATATTATTGATTAAGAAAGATAACTCTTAATGTTTCATCTATTAGCACAATTAAAGGGAAATAACTCTTCATTTGACCGTGCTATCTGGCAAGTGATCTACATGTATGCTTTGTTATAAAATATTTATGATTGTTTATATATATTTCAGAGCTGTGATAATACTGATTATACTGAGAGTGAATATATTTATCAACAACGACAGCATGGCGTTTGTCATTATTTTCATATAAACGAACCCCATTTCACATACATACAAGTTAACAGTATAAATACACTGTAACTCAAGATCTTGGAACAATAGAATTTGTCTGTAAAAAGAGGCTTATTATGAGAACGTTAGCAAAAAAAAGAAGCCTCAATCTGACAGAAATAAAGAAGAGTTACCCCGGTAATTGTCAGTGTTGTATGAGATTGGGGTTATGTGTTTATTCTCGCCAGTTGTATCCATTTGAAAATTGATGCTAGATTCAGATGAGACAATTTATGTAACCACTTAAGTTTCCAAAAATAGGTGCACTTAAGGGAAAATACTTTAGATAGTTGCAATAAACTTATTAAAGCATTTCAATGATTTTCTTAATCTTTAATCTTGCTTTAGTCATATTTAACTAACTCTCTAACCTAACTAATCTTTGCCCTGTAATATTCTTTTTCTTTAATTCTATACTATATAATCTGTCACTATGATCTACATGTATACAGTAAAACACACTTATAGTGAACACACTTACAATGAATTAACGCTTACAGCAAGTGATTTTCATTTCCTTGGCTTTGAAATATATAATTGTGAACTAAATGGATATAACTGAAAACTTTCATAATGAAGCAAAATTGTCCCTGGCACTTTCTTATAAGCATATTTTCATTTATTGTACAGAATTGTGTTGTCATTCTGTCAACGACTAAGGGCTAGTTAAACTCACATTAAGTCATATTTAGTTAATTATAGCCTTTTCAAGTTGATTTAAAACACTTAATACTGTAATTATGTATTCATTTTATATTCATTAATATTTACTTCCTAAATGCAAGAAGTCTTCAAAATGGATACACTTAGATCATATAACAGACACGAGATACTTCTGATGACGTCCAAATCTAGCTTCTGCATTTCTCTATATAGAAAATGTTGGAGAATATACCCATCAGTCTTGAAATTTTGTTGGCAAATAAAAACCTCCCCCTTCAGTCTCTGTTTCTATTTGTCAATGAAATCTCTCGACCATTGGGGTATATTCGCCAACAATACCTGCGATGCTGGAATAATTTCTGAAGTCTACTCCAAACATTATCCAAAAATGATGAAGTCAGGCCTCCATATATAAAAAAAAATGCACCAGCTCAAAAGGATATGCCACTGATTTTGGAACCCCTCTGATTTAGAAACAAGCATTTATGGGCAAAATTAAAATTTAAAGCTTTTCAAAATATTTTCCTCTTCTACTATTCTTTTCTTTTCCAATCCAAGCCAGAGGAATGAGTTTTTTTTTCAGATGAAAAAGTGTTTATTCACGCCAAAAAGAAATCAGCATCTTCGTATCACAAAATTTGTTGAAAAAAGTCCATGTATTCACGGATAGACCAGTCAATGCATGTTGTAAAGTATTAAAAGGTATTCTGCAATATATCGATGTCTTAATTATTTTTCACTATATCCGGGCTTGACCACACATTTCTGATTACATCTGAAGAACTATGGTTTCAGTTTTTACCTTATATTTGTCAAATCCAGACAAAACTTCTGGGGAAAGATATTTGTATGTTGTCATGCTGCTGAAGTCTCATTCTCCGAAGTGAAAGAAGACAAATCCTCATTGGCCTTTTCATAAGTAATAACCAATCAAAAGCCTCGTTCCGAAACGTCGAAGTCGTCTGCAGCGAGTTGTTCGGAAGTTTTCGGTGTTTATATTAGGACAGCCTGAGGGAATATCGACACGCTGTCTGTCATTTCTGTCATATTTACTAATTTTATCTTTGTACCAAGTGTACTTTGTCAAGGCAGGTGAAGTCCATTTACAATGGCAGATAGTCGGAGAGGGTAAAGTATTTTGTTTTATTTGATTGCATAATATTATCAAGATTTAGGTGGGCGTGGCATCCACGTTGCGAGTGTACCGTATATACACACAACTCATGTTCAGTCAAATTGCAACAGACCCACTTAAAATAAATTGAGATGTTTCCATGAATTTTGATATTTCCCAATCTATAATTTAACAAATCACAATTTGTTTCATTTGTAAAATAGGCCTTCAACTTAAGGTGATAAAAATGTGCAGAATTATGAGAATACAAGCCAGCTAGACTACTGTAAACCAACTTTTATTCGCGTGCGAGGAAATATCCGCGAGTTTCGCGACCTTCTTTTCTTGCAGCAAACTATATATATTTCATTGTGTATTTTTGAAGGATAATTCCTCAGTCGCAATAATTACTCGTAGCGGATGGATTTCAAAATTACAAAATTTTAAAGTGAACAAAAGTTGTCACTTGTCAAGACTATAGGTGCTTATTTGGTGGTTTACAGTATTTAGCATACTTAAGTATATACAAGTTTTGATTTGAAATTTCCACTTAATAATTTTTCAATGCCGTTCATACCGATTTCAAAATAAAATCTTTTAATACTATCAACAATCACCTATACTGATCATTGAGCTAGTTAATTTCAATTTTTAAGACTATAGGCATTTATGTGTTTGTCGTCTGTCTGTTTTTCTGTCTGTCTAGCTATATATATTCAGTTACAGTTTTTCAAAATACTGCTCATATTACAGTTTTGGTCAAATTTCAATACAACTGATGGCACACAAGTAATAAAACAAAACCAAGTATTATTCTGTTTATTGGTTTTTGATTTTGATCAACAATGCTGGCATGTTACTTCTCCTTTCCTGGTTACATTTGGTGCCTTGCCATGCCCCGGAAGTGACAGGTGAAAGACCTGTCGGGGAAAAGTCTGGGTTTGTGTCTTTGGGAGCGAAGACATTTAAGGAGGGAGGAATGTGGTGTTCAGATAGGTTGGATTGCCGGTGGCAAGAGAGCTTATTTGGTAGAGCACATGACTAGTGATTATGGGTACCTGGGTTCGTATCCTGATCTGTTCCGTCACATTTTTCACCTTTGCTGTTACAATAATAAGAGTAGAAATTCTGTGAAATCTTTTCAAAACACTGATATATATATATATATATATATATATATATATATATATATATATATATATATATATATATATATATATATCTTCCTATAGTTTTTGGTCTGATAAGATGCATAATTGTGTTTACATGCATCAGTTTTTGATATCAATGAAGAGTATTGCTATGATCACACAAAATAGAAAGAAATGTGAAATCCTTCAAAGTGTCACTCCTTTTACAGTTTTTTTTTTCAGACTTTGTAGACAGTTAAGCTAGATTCTGATTACCAGTATTTTGTTGCCATATGTTTACCAAAATAAAACAACTGTGAAAATCTTTCAAAGTTTCACTCCTTTTACAGTTTTGTTTGATTTCAATAAATCTTGATAAAAGTTAAAAAAAAAAAAACAAACATCAAGATACCTGTACGTAATTATGTAAACATACAATTAAAGGTGTTTCAAGTTCAGGTGGCAACTATTCTCATCCACATCTATAAGGTCAAACCAGAAGAGTTACAGTCTTATTAGAGACATCTGTTTTTTGAATAATTTTTTAATATGCAAGAAAATATACTACATATTTATAAATATCTTGGAAGACCTGTTAGTGTCAGGATTGTATTTTTCAAAGGTCATTCAACATAAGGATTGGAATAACTATATATTTTCAGTGCTAATATTCTTACAGATTTCATCCAGATCCCGAACTCACTGAGATACTTGGGAGACTATGGGAACTGGACACAAACAAATGTTATGCTGGTCAGGACTTTGATATTGATCTGCAAGGTAAGGAATGAAGGAAGATTTTACATAATATACAGATGAAAATTTGGTAAAATTTAATGACCTGTTAATATTGTTAGTATATTTAACCAGATTACCAATTTACCAATTTATTGCATAAAAATCTGAATTCAAGGACAATTAAGATACTTGTATTATACATTCAGTTACTGATTCTTATTAGAACCAATTACCAGATGAATTGGTTAACTGATTAACCATACTGTCCCTAACAACAGAGAAACCAATAAGTAGATGACATGTTTAACTGATAAACCATATACATGTACTGTCTTTAACAGTAAGGAAACTTTATTCATGTTTTTTAAAGTGGGGAAAAGTCAAAATGATTGTATTAGTGGTTACCGTAATAACTTTTTAGCTCACCTGAGCTGAAAGCTCTTGAGCTTTCCTGATCACATTTTGTTTGGCGTCCTTCTGTCTGTCTGTCTGTAAACTTTTCACATTTTCGACTTCTTCTCAAGAACCACTGGGTCAATTTTGACCAAACTTGCCACAAAGCATCCTTGGGTAAAGTGGATTCAAATTTGTTCAAAGGAAGGCCCTCTTTTAAGGGGAGATAATTAAGAATTGGTGAAACTTAATTAAAACCTTCATTACATAGTGTAGATTCAAATTTTTTCAAATCATGACCCTCAGAGGAAGGGTGGAGCCACAATGGGTGATCAAGTTTTAAATGGGTATAAATAGGAAAAAAAACTTTTAAATATCTTCTTCTCAAGAACAACAAAGCCATGATTAGTCATATTGATATGGAAGCATCCTCAGATAGTGTAGATTCAAGTTTATTCAAATCATGACCCCTTCGGTAGGGTGGGGCCACTATGGGGGATCAAAGTTTTACATAGGAATATATAAGAAAAAACTTTAAAAATCTTCTTCTCAAGAAAAACAAAGCCACAGTTAGTCATATTGATATGGAAGCATCCTCAGATAATGTAGATTCAAGTTTGTTCAAATCATGACCCCCATGGTAGGGTGGGTCTACAATGGGGATCAAAGTTTTACATAGGAATATATAGGAAAACTTTTTTGAAAATCTTCTCAAGAACAACAAAGCCACAGTTAAACCTATTGATATGAAAGCATTCCTAGGTAGTGTAGAATCAAATTTGTTCAGATCATCACCCCCGGGGGTAGGGTAGGACCACAATTGGGGGTCAATGTTTTACATAGGAATATTTAGGGGAAAATACTTTTAAAAATTTTCTCAAGAACAACAAAGCCATGATTAGTCATATTGCTATGGAAGCATCCTCAGGTAGTTTAGATTCTAGTTTGTTCAAATTATGACCCCTGGGGGTAGGGTGGGGCCACAATGGAGGATCAAAGTTTTGAATAGGAATATATACATGATATGGAAAAAAATCTTTAAAAAATATTCTCAAGAACAACAAAGCCATGATTACCGGGTAGACATATTGATATAAAAGCATCCTCAGGTAGTGTAGAATCAAATTTGTTCAAATCATGACCCCAGAGGGTAGGGTGGGGCCACAATGGGGGATCAAAATTTTACTTAGGAATATAGAGGAAAAATCTTTAAAATCTTTGAACAACAAAGCCATGATTAGTCATATTGATATGGAAGCATCCCCAAGTATTGTAGATTTAAGTTTGTTCAAGTCATCTTCCAGTAGTAGAGTTGAGCCATAACGGGGAATCGAAGTTTTACGTATGAACATATATAGGAAAATCTTTAAAATTCTTCTTCTTGTAAACAACAAAGCCATGATCAGTCATGGTAGTGTAGATTCAAGTTTGTTCAAATCATGCCCCCCCTCCCCAGGGTAGGGTGGCAGACATTAAAATTCTGTTTTCAAGAACACAAAGCCATGATTGGTCATATGAATATGGAAGTATCCTAAGATAGTGTAGATTCAGTGTCATTCAAAACATGACCCCTGGGGGTAGGTGTGGCTAGAAAGGTGATCAAAGCTTTACATATGAATATGTAGGAGAAGAATCTGCTGATTAAGAACAGCGGGCCATGTTGACTCAGGTGAGCATTGTGACCCATGGGCTTCTTGTTGTAGCTACTGAGCTACGGTTTGTTAGCTACATGTATCTGTCTTGAAAAATAAACAAAATCTAGCATTTTTTGAAAGGATACCTTGTACTTATAGATATAATTCATTATCTTTAACAACTACTATTGAACTTCGTTATCTTGAACACAGATATCTTGAGTACCAGGGATATGTCAATGTAAGATGGTAGTCCCAACTACTTTTTCTTAATGTTTTTACCCTCATTATCTCCAGTCTTTGGATATCTTGAACTTTAACCTTGGTCCCTCTGAGTTGGAGATAATGAGATTTGACTAATTTTTTCAGGGTATGTTACCAGTGGCAGAGAACTCCAGAGAGACAGGGCTCGATACACACTTTTTGCTTGGGTTGATGAAGAAAATGTATTTGAAAGAAAGACCTATAAAAGTACGAACAGAATTATGATATATTTAGATATCTGACTCTTTCATCCTAGTGTTACAATACATGACGTTTTATTAAAAATTCTGCACATTCATAGACTGGACTTTAAAGTATGTATTTGTTTTAACAAATAAACTTAATTGAGTCAAATGAACAGACCAGTGGATGGTTTGGTGATAGATTTTCAACACACAATTTTTTCACACGTTAACAAACATTTACAAAGGTTTCCTTTCACATGTTGACAAACATTTACAAAGATTTCCTTTCACATGTTGACAAACATTTACAAAGATTTCCTTTCACACTTTAACAAACATTTACAGAGGTTTCCTTTCACATGTTGACAAACATTCACAAAGGTTTTCTTTAACATGTTGACAAACATTTACAGAGGTTTCCTTTCACATGTTGACAAACATTTACAAAGGTTTCCTTTCACATATGGACAAACATTTATAAAGGTTTCCTTTCACATGTTGACAAACATTTATAAAGGTTTCCTTTCACATGTTGACAAACATTTACAAAGGTTTCCTTTCATGTGTTGACAAACATTTACCGAGTTTTCCTTTCATGTGTTAACAAACATTTATAAAGGTTTCCTTTCAGAAGTTGACAAACATTTACAAAGGTTTTCTTTCACGTGTTGACAAACATTTATAAAGGTTTCCTTTCACATGTTAACAAACATTTACCAAGGTTTCCTTTCACGTGTTGACAAACATTTACCAAGGTTTCCTTTCACGTGTTGACAAACATTTACCAAGGTTTCCTTTCACGTGTTGACAAACATTTACCACAGTATAAAGGTTTCTTTTCACATGTTGACAAACATTTACAGAGGTTTCCTTATATATTGTACATGATTTACATTGAAGCATTTAAAGCTCTACTAGACAACTATGAACTCGAGTGTGGAAAACAGGAAGTGGTAACAAACGAAGAAAGAAAAGAGAATCGAGACTTCATTGATGCCATCATGGAGACAGATGTAATGCAGGAAGCTCACCGTTATCTCGTAGAGAAGGGAAAAGCACCGGAGGATGAGATTGAGTTCAAAAGACTGCTGTACAGAACCTGGTTCAGTCTCATACGCAGGACAAAGGGGGATAGGTGAGCTTCAGTTCACATCAAGCCTTTAAGAATCACAAGTAACAGTATATTTATAGATCTATGATTCATTAATTTATTTATACTGGTATCTCAGATTAACCGGGGAAGGAATATCTTTGAATTATACTAATTGTACAATTAAACAAATAAATGATTTGGTTTTATGTTTCAAGTATGCAATGACATTTTCTTAGCAGCAGCTATAAGTTTAAATGTTACAGTACATTGTATTTCTGAGAACATTAATTTCATCCTTTGAGATCATGTTGTAAGGATAAATGTCATAAGGATTTTGATTTTTGTGCCGTTTTTTAGGGACTTTGACTCCAGCAGTTTTGAACATGTATTTGTTGGTGAGGGACGTGAGGATGAATTTATTGGGCTTCATAATTGGATTCAGTTCTACCTCCAGGAAAAAGCAGGGAACATTGACTACCATGGATACTTTAGAAGGGAAACGGTGAGTAGTAGATCATTACAGATATGGCACCGGGGCCATAAAACTTAGATGAGCTCACTTTTGATCTCAGTCTCACTTTTCCACTCTATATTCCTTTTATAAAAGTGAGACTGAGATCAAAAGTGAGCTCATCTAAATTTCATGGCCCCGGAGCATGGACTCTAGATGATGTCTAAAGACTATTTATTCCTCTATGATTGAATCAGAGTGTGACAATTACAGTCACCTTTGTTAGGATTCAGATTTTCTTTTTAATAAAAGAAAAAGTCAGATTAAACCAGCATAACTTACTGTATCTTTTGAAGGACAGATTTTTGGGGTTTCCCATAGCAAAGCATGGACACTGCCATATGCATTCTTTCTATAATATTGGGATTAACTGACTCTTATCCACATCTCATATACCACTGAATGAAATTCAATGATACTTTCACAGAATCTTTACTACATACTGTAAACCAACTTTTATTCTTAAATTATACCATAATGCTGTTATCAAGAGTTGTAACAACAATTAAAGCCATCTGTAAATCTAAATACCGTAAACCAGCTTTTATTTGTGTGCGAGAAATATTCGCGAGTTTCGCGACCAACTTTAACTTGTGAATGTTAATCGCCGCAAACCAATTATTTTGCTTTGTATTTGTAGAGAATGATTCCTCAGTTGCAAGAATTAATTGTCGCATATTGATTTCAAACTGACAATTCCTGAATAAATGATGACGCAAATAATAGTTGGTTTACAGTAGTGTCATTGTGCATTTCCTATTTTATGTTCTGATCAGACAAATATTTGGGGTTTCCTGTAGCAAAACTTGTACTCTGCCATTATACTCACATGGGAGCAGGGTTATCATTATGTGAGCTCAGTGCTCACCGTACCTCTAATTTAGGTATAATCTATAGAAATGTTTTATTGTGTAGGTCAAGGATGATGAACATTTCCGGTTGATAGCTCTGCAATTTAATTGGCGGGGAGAGAAAGGTAAGCCAATGAGTTCCTGCTTCCTGGGGACCAGTCCAGAGTTCGAGATCGCAGCTTACACAATCTGCTTCCTGAGTGGTAAGCACGGACGTAACATGGACGTTCAGTTGGGAGAATACGAAGTGGAAATCAGCTGTTTACCTCTGGGAAAGCATTGTATAGGGACGGCTTATATTGCAGCAGCTAGAATGAGTTAGACAGTTACCTCCCCAATGTCAGTCTCTGGCATTGTGTACATATTGGCCTTTAATGAGAACAAGACAACTCCCCCCAATGATAAGTCTATATAAACCCTTCATAGAAACCAAAAACTTTCTTATCAACTTCAAACTATTGCCTTAATCTATATTTTGACTTAGAACATGAAAGTGTGCACTGTTCTGTATCCTTAAATGTTCTGAAATACTCAGCAATACATATCAGAATGTATAGATATCAATTTTTGAAAATGATTTTGATAAACTTTTAAATAGCATTTGCTAAATACTTTAGTTTATCAATTGGTGCTCTTTGGATTATGCAATATTGAAATACTTCTTTTTATTACAGTGGTAAAACTGAAAATCAGTTTTATGTCACAGTAAATTATTGTATGGATTGTAAACAATTAAGATACACGTAGTTATTTCTGTTATTTTGTGATTTTTTTTAGATTTCTAAAATTAATGTCATATACATTTTTGTCATTCTTTTTTCAATAGCATTCTTGTGAATTGTTAGTGATTTTTGAGATCTGATTTATATATTTTATAAATTAAGGAACATGTATTATTTTTTTTATTACTTTCATATTCCTAATTGTATTGTTATACACTGTACTGCTGTTTATTTTGTTTGTACTCAATTCGTCCAGTTATAGTGGGGCATTACTTTAATATTGCAATATTCAATACCTTTTAAATTAGTTATACATGTAACATTTATCTGTCCAGTATTGAGCTGACCAAAGGCTTTCTTAAGACATAACGATGCTCAAAAGTTGATATTTGCTATAGTCTTTCCATTCCCCATTTGTCTGAAGACAGTAAAATTTATTTATGTTGGTTTATTTCCCATGGATATATAAAACAAAATTATAACCATGACAGAATATGAGAGTCTGAAAAAGTAAAATTAGAACTTTTGACTGAGAGAAAAAAAATCATGAATTGACAACCTCAGTGAATATAGATATATATGTAATCCCTGTCTTAAAGAGATGCTTGCCAGAAAACTTATGTCCCTACAAAACTGTAAATATGAGGGCTGTTGGAAAATTATTGTGACATTCTGATTATTTTTCTTTTAGTGAAAATTGGTATATACATTTACCAAACACCAACAATATATAAAAGCAAGAGATATTTAAGAAATATTTTAATTTTTCTTTTAAATGACCCTTTAATGTGTCCATGCATGGTAGAGGTACCTGGTGCAGTCTCGAAGTGTTGGAAGTCTGTAACTACTATGTACTACATCCTCATTGACTCGAATAATGTATGAAAATTCATGAAATTATGCATGTCATGCATGTATTTCGATCTTTATCTTGCCTTTATTTTGTGCAAGTGCAATAAATTTTTTTTTAAAAATACGGATAGCATAAAGATTTTTGATAAGGCTATAAAAATCTTATGGTGACAGCAAAATGAATTTTGGCGTAAAGACTAGCTGAGCAATGGGCATACATTAATTTTTGTGTAGAGTTGATTAGAACTGTTCAAACAAAGGACCTTCTGAAACAAACACAATGCAAAGGAAATTGTATTTTGGCATTTATCTTTGATGTAAACATTTTTCTGACAACAACATAGGAATTGGCTCTTAACTTGAAGCTGGATGACTATCAGTTATTAGGGACAAATTAACATCACCAGTCCTAAAATTGATACCAAATGATGCACGTCTGACTGTAAGAGATATTTCAGGGAAATTTGAAATTGGAGTAAACAACAGGATATAATTGTTTGTATAAAGGGGAAAAATAAAAAATGGAGAGAATTTGGGTTGTTTGGTTTCCAGAGGGTTATCAAGTAATGACAAAAAAGAGAACAGTTGATGTTTCCCGATTGTTTCAGTGTGAGAAAAAAATCTAACAGTGAAGTAATGTCAAAATGATGTTATTATTATCTCTGCAGAGCACTCCGAATCAATAGACATATTCAAGTTTTGAAATTTTACCAGGTTTTATCCAATGATGCTATCAGCAAGATATTTTGCATATTTGTATTATATGTTCTTGATAAAATTCTGGTGAACTTTCATGAATTTATCAGTGTTTCTTCCCTGGAGTCAAAGTTAAAGTCTCAATATTTCCAAACAGCCCTTGTATATAGCAATTCACAAATATTAGCCCACATGAATTCAAGTAATTCCATGGTAAGATAAAATTTCTTATAAGTAGTGATGTTTATGTGACATTGTTAAGATTTAATACATATATACATGCTGGCCTTAATTTGTTACAATATATACTCTATATTTAATAGCTTTATATACAATTAGAGGGATATCTATTATTAGATACATGTAACTATATAAAAGATTTTAAAATATATCTAAATAGGTGGTGGAAGATAATGGAGTCTAGTTTATAGGGGGTACTTGTATTTGCATATCTAAATTTTATTGTCTCATTCTAAAACTAATGAACAGAAGGCATTTCAATGATAATGCTTAAAAAGTCGGTGTAAAGTAAAGTTTAAAGGATTGTGAGACATTTTTGTAGCCTTTCATTTACCATTTGATGTTAAAATGTTGTGAAATCATCATTGTTCATGGGGGACTAATGATTGTAGATTTCATAGTCCCCCTTACCCAAGAATTTACATTCTTATGAATGATTACTTTGTCAACAAATTCCTTCATTGGATCATTGTATATACGATTTACCCACGAAATTATTTTCCCACGAACATGTAAAATTTTGGTTCCCAATGAACATTGCCACAAATTAAAATGATTCTACATAAGTAAAGAGATTTATGACAAGTTCTTTCCTTTCTGAAGATGTTTAAATAATTTTCTAGTCACTGAATGCATTTTTCCTCCTCAATGTTTTATTTTTCTTCTATCTTAGAAAAGGGTTATAACAGGGTACACATCAGAAAGAAAGTACTCCAGTAAGTGTAGAATATAATAGAACACTTTTTTGCAGAATAGTCTTCAAAATTAAGCTTTTCCATTTTAGTTTTTTTTTATTTGCTTATGATATGTTGGAAATTTAATAATCAGAATTATATTCAATCTTTAAACAGACAGTTTGTGTAACCGTAAATATACAAAGTCAGAACCTTCTCTGTCTATACATATTTATCTGTACATTAAAGATCTTTGATGTGCATAGCTGATACAGGATTTTCTTATTTATTGTAATTATCAATATTTATTTTCCTTGTGGTTTCACTTTAAATTTTAAACTTTTTTTTTCGTAAGGATTTTTTTATTTACACCAGATTATGATTTTCAAACATTTTGGTTTTTGTATACATGAATAAAATCTATTGCCTTCATGGATGTTTTTTATTTTTTTTTTAATTTTTTATTAAGAACTAAATATTTTGGTATGAATTAAATCTTTATCATGTAAATGTGTAATCATGGCTTCCTACTAGCTTGGGCTACTGGGTTAACAATTAAGCCCAATAAGGGCATACAAAAGAACTTACGACTAAGACCAAAATTTTATTCTGCTTATAACTTTCTAATTATACCCCCACTCTGAAGGAGAGGGGGGTATACTGTTTTACCCTTGTGTGTCTGTCTGTGTGTCTGTCTGTAACAAATTTTTGGTCACAGTTTTCTCAGCAACTACTCATCGCAGATGCTTGAAATTTTAGCACACACTTTGTTGAGGTATGCCATATGGTGGGATTCATTTTTGTACAAATCGGATGTCAACTTCCTGTTTATCCGTGCGTATGTCTGTACCATACATAACAAACTTTGGTCACAGTTTTCTCAGCAATTACTGATTGCAGATGCTTGAAATTTTAGCACATTCTTTGTTTAGGCATGCCATATGGTGGGATTCATTTTTGTACGAATTCGATGTCAACTTCCTGTTTATCCGTGCATCTGTCCATGCCATACATAGCAAATTTTTGTTGTAGTTTTCTCAGCAACTACTGATTGCAAATGCTTGAAATTTTAGCACACTCTTTGTTTAGGCCTGCAATATGGTGTGATTCATTTTTGTACGAATCTGATGTTAACTTCTTGTTCATCCTTGTGTCTGTCCATAACTGAACTTGTGTACATTCACATCAGAATGTATTATTCACATCAAAGTGGGGGTATTACTAGTGAGCATTGGTTCACAGACTTCTTGTTTACATTAAATTGAAAATGATTTTAATCTTTTTAAAAGGAATGTAGAAAGATATTTCTATGTTAGCAATTTTAAACAGAATCCTTAATTTTGCAAAATTTTACATTCAACTAAAGTTTTTCGTCTTAGTCATAAGTTCTTTTGTAAAACGAACCACAGGGTTCAATCCCAAACAGAGGTACAAACCTATCTCTGTTACATAAATAATAAAACTTTAATTAAATATTTTGTATTTATCTTTTTGAAGAAGACCATTTTTGAATTATGTCCAGTATCGAACTCTTCAGAAAATAATTTTGTTTTGAGTCTAAGGAGGTAAGATATGATGGACATCTGCAGAAAGTATTTTGTGGGTTGACATTACGAAAAGGCCATTGGACTCTTACGGCAACCATGAGAGTGGTACACAAGAGATAGCACCAAAGGCTCTAAAGATGAATCCCGCCAAAATAATTACACAAATAGAAGTTAATTCCATGTTAATCAGTATGTGGCAGAGAAATCAATACACAAATTATGAACTTGTCTTTCTGAATTCAGAATAAATTATTTGAATTACCTTAGGTCTCTATGTTATGTTGGGTATAACATCATTTTTCAGTTAAAGATTGTACCTCATTCTGCATCTTAATTATTTACATACAAGTACACATACTAGGCATTCTTAAATCAATATCATCTTACTGTATACAGGCTTTTATAACTGTGCATCTACATGTATTTACTTGAAATTTATAATATAAGGGTATCTTTTGAATATGACCCATTAGCTAGGAGGTGTCCACAATGTGGCTTGAACCTAAAAACCACAAATTTAAAATCCAATGCTCTACCGACTGAGTTAAAATGAGCAGTTACAGTAAAAGTCTGGAAATATCAGGCTGGAAATATATTCCAAATTAGAGCATTATATCCTGATCAGAGTTTTAAATTTATACAAATGTTTTATAATGAAGTCAAAATTATATTGGATAGTGCTCATAGTACTTTGTAGTATTGCAGTGCTTATTGCGAAAAAAAAAATTGTGTTGCATGTCTATGAAGTTAAGATGAGTAATGCCATATCCCGGCACCAGCGCCCCGTTTAAGGTTTTAGGAGCAGGTCTCATTCCCAAGTAACTGTTAGCCCTACCTGGACCAAACTTGCAAGGATGATACATCTAGGGATGTACACTACCAGAGTTGCTTTGGATGCAGGAAGTGATCTACATTTCCCTGATGAGAGACCAGGTTAAAGTTTTTGGAGCATGCTAAAATATTTTGGATTAAGCTCAAGTTTTAGGAGCAGGTCTCATTTTCAAGTAACTATAAGCCCCATCTGGACCAAACTTGCATGAATGATGCATGTAGGGATGCACATTCATTTACCAGACTTCTTTAGATGCTGGATCTGACCTACATCTTCCGGGTGCATGACAGTTTAAAGTTTGTTAGAGTTTCAGTCTTTAGAGCAGGTTTATTCCCAAGTAACTTAAGCCCTACCTGGACCAAACTTGCATGGATAATGCATCTAGGGCTGTACACTACCACACTTGCTTTTGATGCTGGATAAGACCTACATTTTCTGGATGAGTGACTAGATAAAGCTTATGGAGCAGTTTCACTCTTAAATGTACATCCTTTCTGGACCAAACTTGCATGAATGATGCACCCAGGGATGCACACTATCAGACTTGCTTGGATGCAGGATCTGATGTACATCTGTTGAAGCAGGTTCACTCTCAAGTAACTATAAACCCTATAGTGACATAATGTACAAGGATGTTGTATCTATAGGGATGACAGACTTGTTTCAGATGCTGGATCAGACCTACATTTTCCAGGTTAATGCAATAGGTAAAATTTTCAGAGCTGGTCCATTTCCAAGTTACTATAAGACATATAGTGACTGAGCTTGCATTGATGAGCCATGTTACCAAGAGATGCACCCAACCAGATTTGGAAACTGGATCTGACTTGCATTTACAGGGTGATTGAACAGTAGGAGTTTTGGAGCAGATATATTTTCAAGTATCTACAAATCCTACCTGGACCAAACTTGTATAGATGTTGTACCTAGGAATGCACACTACCAGAACATTTGTTTGGTGTGAGAATTTGCTTTACTTATAGATAACATTTGTCGAGGTGAGCTTTGTAATCTTTGATTACCTATGTTTCCTTTCAGACTAATTCATTGCTAAGTAAACAACATATTATACATGTATGTTCTTAAAAGCAGTTTACAAGAGACTTGTCTAATAGTCCTTGTATATATATTTCATAAGCAAAATTCACACCTTGCCTATTTGTCATTGAAATGTGTATCTTTAGTCAAATTTATAACATCATGTTTTGAAAAAACATCAAATTAAAAATGTTGAGATCTTTTAAAATTCAATTGATTAACCCACAATATAAGCCCAATCATAATTCATCATAACAAGCCCAATCATATTTTTTTCCAAATTGGCTTTAAAATGGAATATTTTCTGATGATGGAATAATTAATATGCGTTCCATGAATACTATTTTATCAAAAAGCATCTGAAAGGGAGACAACTTTCAATAAAACTGAAATGCAATATGATTGAATATAAAATTACCTGGTTTCAAGACCATGAACTGAGTATAGACTTCAGTCAAAATTTCAAATTTAATAATTTTTGAAATAATTTTAAAAATCAAGTATTTGAATTTAAATATACAAACTTTAAACTTTTAAAACATCATTAAGATACTAAAAACCTAAATCTGACAGAAGTCTGTCCTCAGTTTATGGTCATTTTGGTCTGTATTGGGAATTGCCAAAAAGACACCACTGGGAAATATCCAGATTGGGATATGAACCCCACCTGTGATATATTCCAGACCTGTTTGTATATACAATGTACATGTAATATCAGTTTACAGTATATGGATAGTGCATTACCTGAACTGAGCATCATTTAATAGTGTTTAGAATGTCTGCTATTCAAAAATTGTATATAAGTACTTTAACTCTTCCATTCAGAATTTAGTATCAAGTTTATATTACAGTGTTACATGTACCCGTACATGAATAATATAAGCACTATTTCACTCAGAATAACTACTTGTTTCCCAATCCATCACCAATATATTCTGAATTCCAGATAAAGCATTTTCTCTACACAATAGTATGTTAGCTCACAATATAAAATATATATCTTAAGGTATTTCCACCCTCCTGTGATGTCATAGGTTTTTGCAAAAACTGTTACACTGTATTAATTTAATTTCATACCCCATAGAAAAATATCTTTTAGAAGAATGTTTTTCAATGGGTGTAAAAACAAATACTGTTTAGTAAAAGAGTTTAAAAATTGAATATTTTCTTTATTAAATCAATTATTCAATCTTCAAAAAGTGTTGCAAAGGGCAATAACTCTTTCTCATGCATCTATATTCAGACATTTTCCTTAGTGTATTTCTAATGTATAATGGTTTCCCTGATATTCACAATTCAAACATATTTATAAAGCGGCAATTATTCTGGAACTTTCAGCATCAAAATTATGTATTTAAACCAGTTTTTACATTATTTTTATAAAACTGTTTACTAAAATTGTACAATTTTTTAATTCTGAAATACCCCGGTAGACTTCTGTTTATTTATGTCTAACGTCTTAAAAAATATGGCAACCTATATATTTTTTTGTGATTATTCATTAATTTAAACTATATTCAGTGAAAATAAATGCAGTTTTTCTAATTTGAACCCATAAAATTGCGAAGATGGAAATACCTTAAGCAGAAATTACTGCAGAAATTATTCCTTTAGTTACAGTATTCAACCATTAAAATACTCGCATCAACAAACATTATAATAGCAATTTCAATGGACAAGTATTTATTCTGCATACGAAAACACACATGAAACAAATGACATACATGTACTTTATTGATAACCATCACTGATATATGTCCTGAGACATTATTGCATTACCTTGTCCTTTCTATCTATTATCACAAGAGGTACAAAAAAATTTTAGAAAAAAATGTACAAAAAGTGTAGAAATCATTACAAAGCTAGAGATGACATGTCTATAACCAATGGCACGCAATCCGATGACTGAGGGATGAAGTTTAACTGATTGGGTGATGAAAGTTTTCAAAGTCATCAGCTTTATGATCTTCTGGCATTGGTCTAGCTTCGTACGTTGCTATAACAACCTCTTGTCGACGGGCCTTAGACAGAAAACAATTTTATAGATAAGAAAAAGAAACTGTTTTTTCCAGTAACATGTAGCAAACTGAATTTTATCTCTTAGTTTGAGTTAGATCAATATTCTGCCAAAACAATTAAAATTTTTAACAAGAGGCCCATGGGCCTTAACAGTCACCTGATAATCACCAATTTCTTTAGTTATAACCAATTTAACCCCTTCTGAACTGAAACCCTGATCTCTTGTAACAAAAATAATTGTCTGGATAGGATTTAAGGTATTTCCACCCTCCTGTGATGTTATAGGTTTTTGCAAAAACTGTTATTAATTTAAATTCATACGCATAGAAAAATACCTTTAGAAGAATGTTTTTCAATGGGTGTAATAACAAATATTGTTTAGTAAAAGAGTTAAAAAAATTGAATATTTTCTTTAAAAAATTATTCAATCTTTAAAAAGTGTTGCTAAGGGCAATAACTCTTTCTCATGTATCTATATTCAGGCATTTTCCTTATTGAGCTTCTAATGTATAAAGGTTTCCCTGATATTCACAATTTAAACATTTATAAAGAAGCAATTATTTTGAAACTTTCAGCATCACAATTATGTACAGTTGAACTTCGGTATCTCGAACTCTGATATCTTGATTACAATGGATATGTGGAAGTGATTTTGAAGTCCCAACCACGTATTTTTAAGTATTTTACCCCTGATATCTCGAATACTCGGATATCTCGAAGTATTTTCTTGGTCCCATTGAGTTCGAGAAAATGAGGTTTGACTGTATTTGAACCAGTTTTTACATTATTTTTATAATACTGTTTACTAAAAATGTATGATTTTTGAATTCTGACATAGACTACTTCTGTTTAATATGTCTAACATCTTAAAAAATATGGCAGCCTATATATTTTTTGCGAATATTCATTAATTTAAACTATATTCAGTGAAAAAAATGCAGTTTTCTACTGAGAACCCATAAAATTGTGAGGATGGAAATACCTTAATCATTATCAATCATCATATTCATGCAACTTGTCTCCAAGAAGTACAGAAGTAAAGAAGATAAGGTATACTGTATAATAAATTTCTATATACAGTACATGTATGATCAACTTAGCCCCATCCTAGGGCCTGAATCATGGGCCAGTGGGCCATGATATTCACAATTTTGGTAGAGAGCTCATGCAATGTTTATTATAATCATCAAAAAAATTTGTATACTAAAAGACCATGAATACTGAGCAGAGAAGAATATTTTCAAAGATGTAATGTATTTTCAATACTGTGGAATCATTTTAATTCATGGGGGGTTAATGTTTGTGGGTGACCAAAATGTTACTGGTTTGTGGGGACATACTTTTGTGGGTAATCTCACATAAACAGAAGATCAATGAATCAATACGTTGAAAAAACTAATTGTTCATGGAGATGTTAATTCGTGGGTGAGGGTGACCAATAAAATTCATGAACATTGGTCCCCCCACGAACATTGATGATTCCTCAGTACATGACCAACTTATGCCCCACCCTAAAGCCTGAAGTGCCGTGAACTAACTTACTAAGGACCCAGGGACCAAGAGTTTCACAATTTTAGTAAATGGTTGAGTACTCATTATAATTATCGTTTATGGAACAGTTTGCCTGCTAGATATCCATGAGTAAAGAAGTAGATTTTAAAAGATAATGCATTTTCAACATATGAACAACTTAGCCTGAACCCTGAATTTCAAAATTTTGGTAAAAGGGCTTAATACTATAATCATGCACACAGTTTGACTGCTGGATGTCAAGGGGTAAAGAAGATTTTTGTGGAGACAAGCATTAACTTTGCTGGTTTTAACAACACTCCTTAGATCCCCTGGGGACAGGAACCATGAAATTAACAATTTTTGTTTCCCTTTGCCTACATTTACTATGTACCAAATAGGCTGGAATTGGTTCAACCTTCCAGAGAAAAAGCAGAAAATATTCCAATAAGTGGCCTAGGTGACCTGAAATTTATAAATTTCATATATTTTTTTCAGTCTTTTAAACCAAAATTAAAAAAAAAAATTTCAAGTTATGACCAATATTTACATCTGTGCTGCAGTGATCAGTGAAATTCAGTTGTAAATAAAAGAGAGTGGGTGATGGTCCAGCTAACCTGAAACAAATAATCCGACTTAACTCGTATATGAGTTAAATCATGTTATTGAGATGACTAGAGCAAGTCCAAGAAAGATAACTCGTATGATCTCCCATTAGTTCAGCTTCGGTAAATGTCATCAGTTTCCACAACCCTGGTTTCAATGAAGCATGCGCAAACTATTGAACAGTCAGTGATCATTGTTTATATTCATTGTATTGTACCATTGAACAGTCATTTATATTTGTTTGCATTGTATGATTATTCATTTTACATTCTATTTCAAAGTAAAGCCATGACAAAAACTGCCAAATCACTGTTGCTTTATTCTATCGAAATAATACACTAAAATGTCTGTATACTGTTTAATATCACCTAAGATTAGCCTGCTTACCTCTTGAAAGTCCCCCTTCAGTCCAATGTAGTATATCTTCGTGTTTTCACCTCCAAAACTGGATGGAAAATGGATGGTAAGTGTATCTACACTATTGAACCTTGCTGCTCTGTTCAACAAAATGTAGATTCTCATTTACTCCAAATCATACTAATTTTTAGATATATTTCTAAATTGTAAATAAATATTGGGAGAAAAGTTCACATCAACAGCTCTGATTCAGCTTACATGACACCATACTGTAGAGTGCCTTCTGGGTCAGGGGTCAGCTCAAATTCTTGGTCTGCCTTACGACCTACATCATCGAAGGTCATTTCCGGGGCATTTTTGAACCTATGAAAAGTGTTATACCTATATGATATTTCAGTTAATTAACCAGAGAAGAAATGATTCTGTAGATATTCAACTCACAGTCTCATTTTGCTAGGATGGTTTTCCCCTTGTTCTCCAATTACTATGATGCCTTTTAATTTCACATTTCCTGTAAATCTGCAACACAAATACAATTTTAAAAACTTGCATTTATTACAAAATTAAAGTACAGTATTTACTTGCAATTTATGGATCTTTCAAGATTTTTAATAGTGCTGCAATTTCTTCAGATTTCCAATATATAGGTATTTAAAATATTTTGAAGAAGTCTATGTTAAAAATTCCTTTAATATATAAAATAAATGTAGACAGGCTTTGATGATAAGAATCAAAACTAACAATACAAAATTTTTTTTTCCCTTATGTAGCTTTGCTTCATGTCATGAATTTAAAATTGATCTAGGAGCAAAACACTTTCCAATAGCAATTCTTTATCCTGACATAATTTACTTACGGGATTTTGAACAGCAATTCTGGATCAGCATCACTTTCTACAAACTGTTTTAAAAAATGTACGCAATTAAAATTTTTCAGCAGAAATTTGTCACAGCATACTTTAAGTGCATGTAAGTCATATACGATGGTAATCCAAGAAATCAATGTAATTTTCTACCTGCAGATTGAACAGACTGTGATTTCATTGAATTACATCACATAACTGTAAGTGTGATCTGACTTTCTGGATCGCCACACTATCATTCTGACGTTAAAATTTACTATTATAGTAAATAACAACAGATTTCAGATTAGCAATAATCTTCTCCCTACTTTTCATGCAACAATGTATAAAATAATATATGAGAAATAATTTGTGAAACGCCACTTAATTTCAGATCAAGTATCGTCAATTCTCATTATATCGTGGGTTCTATTGTATCACAGTATATTCCAAAAATTAGGATATATAGCTCATATCCTTTTTGTTGATGGACTATCTGTCTGTCATCTGAATGTTGACTAATGTGATGATTAAAAAGCATGGAACACCCGTTTGAATTTTTTTTATTTAAATAAAACGTAATTTTACAGATTTCAATTCCCGTTTTTATTTTATTTGGACCATTGAATTTATATCCTAGTAAAATCCATAATAAAATTCATATTTTGAAAGTCTTATATTTGTATTATTGTTTAGTTTTCATGAAGATTTACATCGTAAATTTAAAAATAAAAATTGTTCTTCGTGACTGCCCCAAGCATCCATGTTTTTCAGTACCATGATACAATGAGACTCTCCACTTTAGGAGGTAAATAAGACTTCCAGTTTTAAAAATAGACCACGAATTAAACGAAGCAAGCTTGGGAAATAATTAGTCACGGAAATGTTAGGCCATTGTTAGGTTTTATTATGAATAGCATTTGATGAAAAGTTAAAGTAAGAATTTGGAATAACTTTTTTTATGCAAAAAAAAAAAAAAAAATAAGTACCGCGATAAAATGAGATACCAGTATACTTTGTTTATCTCTTTTTTATGAATATCGGGGTAAGGCAGATAATTTCAAACTTTAATGCTTTCTATAAAATATACAGCAAATTTCCCATTTGGCCGTGACACTATGATCGACAGCTGTATCATACCCTCTCTTTGTCGAGTCTCTGATCCCAGGGTTTGAAGACAGACTTGGGTGAATTTTCTGTATTCAGACACTGGACAGCTTCCATGTTTATTTTAGTATATAAACTGTACGCATCAGCCAATTGATCTTCTGTCAAGTGATCATCACAATTATGATTCCCACCACATCCCCCGCTGCCATGACTATGACCGTGCCCCGACATCCTTAATTTTACAAATATTTACTGTTCTTCAGAATCTACGCCGTATGTCCTCTACTTTCAATTTGTCAGTCAGTCTTTTCTGGAAGGTTCTATAAAAGTAAGAATAGAATCACCTTGATACCAAACGTGTCAGTGACCAAGCATTTAATCCTTTCGGAGGCCTTCTGACATTATCTTATGCAGAAATCGGTTATAATAGAGAGCTTCGAATAAAAGTAAACATGGCAGAAAATTCTCACGTGGATCTGGGTTTCGTTGAGAAAACAGACACAGGGAAATTATCATGCCAATATTTCCCGAGCAAAGTCGGCGGAAAACCTGCCTGGTTATCACTTTCATCGCTTCCCTCACCAAATCAAATTCTATGTTCTAAATGTAATAACATATGCGTATTTTTACTCCAAGTGTACGCACCGATTGAGGATGATGACAATTCGTTTCACAGAACAGTTTTTGTATTTCTTTGTAAGAATCCGAACTGTCACCAGCCAAACTCCAGTGTTCCTTTTATCGCACTGAGGTCTCAGCTTCCCAGGATCAATGACTTTTACAGCCCAGATCCTCCAACACCTGTCACACCTGTTCCAGACAATGGGGACAAACTCTGTGTGGTCTGCGGAATTTCTGGACCAAAATGTTGTTCTAAATGTCATTCCAGGTCGTACTGCTCCAAAGAACATCAAATTATTGACTGGAAAAAAGGCCACAAACTCAACTGCAATGAGTGCAAAGGTTGTTTTAAACTTTTAATCCCCCCCCCCCTTTTTCAAAACAAAAAATATAAATTCCTGAAATTTACTACATGTCAGGAAGAAACTATAAATATCTTTGCCAGGCTTTGAATCAAATATCAGCAGACTTATTAATAGATAGAACGTTCTATCGTTAAAATGATATTGACCTATGGACCCGGTTTAACGATAGAATTCGTTCCGTGTATTGGCAATGTTGCAAAATAAACGCGGGCGATAACTTGAACGCTGTGTATTTTCTATGAACAATCCAGAGAGTTCTGAATGTCAACATGGCGTTAAATTTGAAGCGAGGAAAAAACGTTGAGAAAATTAGTTAAATTTTCGTATTTATATGGATTATTTTTTAGGTTAAAAGGCATATACAATCTCAAAAAGGTTTGTTATCATTAATTTGGTAGTTATTTTCAGTGCAACTCCTTTTGTATTCTTCAAAATCATTTCAGAGTGGATCCACTCCGATTTGCTACATTGCAAGTATATGGGACGTATTCTAACTGTGATGAGGGCTTGTCCCGAGACACAGTTAGATTATTCTAACTAACTTATTAATGGTTCATGTATATCAGCTGTACATGTACATAAAAAAATGTTGCTGTAAGGCCATCTTTAAAAAATTGTTTGGTTGCCCTCTCCCAACCGACTGGCTAAAAAATGCTGACTCAAAACTTTTTTTAACTTCTAGGAAACAATTAATTTTTTTATACATTCCGGAAAAAGATTTTGAAAACTCAGCATTTATGTTGAAATTTTCTGAGAAAAAGAAATGTCCACCTTTCTACCGACCCAAATTTTAGACTGGGTCAAGTTACTCTGTCTATTAGTTTACTGTCTGTTGAAGCCTCGAAACTGTGTTTTTTAATTTAAATTTTATGTTATAAATATTAAATTATAAAAAAAAAATTAAGTTGGTATCAAACCCCTACATAAAATTTCAACATGCAGTAATGAAATTTGAAAGTAATGAAATTTCTTAATTGATCCATCTTTCAGTACTGTATCAGTACTTTGATTTCATCCTGAGTTGGAAGAGGGCAAACAAGCATTATTTTAAAGTTGGCCTAAGCTAATGCATTTAGTTCTGCTGTTTACTTATACAGAAGATCTTTCAGTAGACCTTTGAATTTGGTAGGAGAATCACATTTATCTCTTTTGAGAATGACCTTGCACTGATCAAAATCTGAGTATTTTAACACATTTCATAACTTTTGGTTGAAGAGCCTCCTGAGTTTGGTCAAAGAGCCCCTTAACAAATTGTTTAATAAATTAGTTGTAATGAAAAAAAAAAAAAAAAAAAAAAAAAAAAAAAAAAAATATATATATATATATATATATATATATATATATATATATATATATATATATATATATATATATATATATATATATATATATATATATTTATATATATATATATATATATATATATATATATATATATATATATATATATATATATATGTGTATATATATATATATATATATATATATATATATATATATATATATATATATATATATATATATATATTATATATGTAGGTGATACTCTAAGTGAATGAGTGAGAAGAAAGAATCAGAGAGTGAATGTTTAATAAAAATCCGCAATGTTTATCTGTATAAATATACTGTTATATGAATATTGAAAAGTGGAAATAAAAAAAAAAAATTAGTTGTAATGAGATCACATCCCAGAAGGTCATAGTCATAGCTCGATCCCTTTGTTTTTGCCTGGCAGTATATTCTACACTTAATAGTTATCATTGTTAATGTTTGTCTTGATTTATTTTGTAGAGGACAAAACTACAAACACCTCACAGGTTCTTTTCCAGGAGTATGAATTGCTGATTGAAGATGAAGAATTTCAGAAGGAGGAAGAGAAGTCAGAACCAGAAAAGAAAGAGGAACTTCATTCTTTTCTGAAATCAGAAAAGGCTAGCTCCCTCTTACAGGATTGTTCTTCTGAGGAACTCGAAAAAATGTCAAACCAGTCAGAGGACAAAGTCTTCCTTAAGTTCAGGAAGAGGATAGACCATGCTCCTGAACAGGTAGAGTAGGCCGGGAGATAAAAAAACTATTTATGGCCAGAAGCAAGTTTTTAAAAGAGGAGAGAAAAATTAGGGAAGATATGATATTTATACATTGCCTTTTAAAATTTTGTGAGTGTAGGTTTTGCGCTATGACAGAGGAGGATGTCCGTTATTGGTGTCCAGTGACAACAAGCCAGATAAGATACCAAACTGTACATGTGGAGCCCAGAGACAGTTTGAATTTCAGGTTTGAGTTCTAGATTAGCAGATCATCATTGAATTGTTGTGTAATTTAAATTAAATGTACATTTTTTCCATATCCTGACTATATACCTAGGTTTATGCTTATTTTTTATGATACATTCTTGCCTTGCTGTACGTGTTATCTAGGTTTGTGGAGTACTCAAGGTTTTATTGTGCATTCCAGATTTCAGGTGTGTCCCAGGTCTTTGATTTATTCTAGATTTATTCTGTGTTCAAGGCTGGATGTGTAAAAAAAAATTTTGTGGTGTTTTCCAGATCTGTGGTGCGGGTTTGTGGTTTGTTCCAGGTCTGTGGTGTATTCTAGGTTTATATTCTTTATTCCAGGCTTATTGGGTATTCTAGGTCTGTGGTATTCTGTGTTCCAGGTTTATCCTGTATTTCAGGTCTGTAGTGTATTCTAGGTTTGTGGTGTATATCAGATTTGTGGTGTATACAAGTTTTGTGGTGTTTAGCAGTTTTGTGGTGTGTTTCAGGTTGCCAGTTTGTTGTCTACACCAGGATAATAGCACATTCCAGATTTGTTGTTTCCCCTTTCCTTGTGTATTCCCATGCCAGTTGGTGTTGTGTTTCAGGTTTCTGGTTAAACCTGTTTTATGTTTAATTTCAGTTTTATTAATTTATTTATTGTAAGTTGCATATGATACTTAAAATATGTTATGGTTTAGAATATGTGTGTTCCTACATGTACTGATAACGGCATCATAATTTTCCAAATGGATGAATTTTAATGAAGAGAATAGCATGAATAGGGACTAGTTTAAATTTACATAAGTGTCAGCATACAGATAATCAAAGTACAGAAAATTACATAGTTAACAATTGTTCAAAGTGAACTGCTAATAGTGCTACATTGCACTTTTTTCAGTCACTTGTATTCATTGGTAGTTTGGGATTCAGAATAAACATTTGATGTGTATTCTATAGAACAGGACATACATGTGTATAATGCTTTCACCTGTCAAATCAGCAATGCACTTGTTCATCCAGTGTCCAGCATGGTATATTTATTTCAGAATAGTGATCACAGTTCCATACTGCTCATTATCATGAAAGCTGAAAAAAAAAACCTTTTGCTTAGAATTTATACACATGTTTAATTTCTTCATTGAATGTGTGTTCATGTTGACTGTCAGGAAACACTTTTAAGAAGTGAAGCTATATGATTGTGCAGCCTGTGGCTGGTAGCCAAAGTAATGTTGAACATAAATTCAGTGCCCCAAAACAGCAATATAGGCATAGTTTTACTGACATATATAATTTTATGAAATCAATTATGGAACTGATATAGTTTACACATAGACAACCTCTGTATAATGTAAAATCTAGCTCCACTGACTATAGTTAATCCACTAATACTTACAAGAAATTGGTTTCATCATATATGCAAAAAAAATTTTTAAACACTAGCTAACATAGTCCAGTCAATTTAGCGAAAATATGGGCCCAACATCAAACTAATTGCAATATAAATTATTTTGTCATAAATTAAATCTAACACGTACAAGAATTTGCAGTAAAATTCTTAGAAAATCTAATGAGGGAAAGCATAATTTTGGTATGATTTAATTAGCTATGGGAATTTCTATAGAAAAGGGGCATAACTCTGCAAATCCATCCAATGTTTTGCTGAAGTAATTAAAAGCATGAAAGCATAATCTGATTTAAACTTTTCTGATACAGTTTAATAGATCATTATTTCATATAGATTATATAAATTTGAAACAGATATTTTGAATATAATTTCGTATTTTTTGATAAGTTGGAAATATTAGCATTTTTAATATGCAATAACTTACGTGTTTGCATGTCTTAATTAGATTGCGTCTATCTTTATTAGTTTTATTTGACGCCACTTTGTTTGTTATGAAATATGGGTCAATTGCCCCAATGATTGATAACAATTGAGGGTTACCATCTAGGGTGTAAATCAGATCGTTTACATAATTAGGCAATAGGGGGGGACCCTCTAGGGAATAAGGTCAATGGCCCGGTACCAGGCGCCCCCTGGTGGCTGGACCCTTTTAAGCCAATCAGGGGTCAGGTTTAGCAAATTTTAAATAAAAACAATTTAATTGACCAATCAGATAGCACAATTACAGGCTTACTATCCCTGACTTTGAAAGAAAGTGTCACTTTTTTGAAAAAGGGGAAAGGCCACGAAATTTTTTTTTTTTTTTTGTATGAGAGCAGAGTGTGTGTGTTTGTAGTTAGTCAGAGGTTAACCATGATTTCGTTTAACCATATGCTTATCACATACATGTCTTATTAGTAGGGATGGCAATTTGTAATCGGTTAACCAGTTACTCGGTCTGAACGTTGGCAATCGGTTAGAAAATCTGTAATCGGTTAGTCGGAAAAAAATTAATATATGTGTAAATTTGAATACAATTTCCTGAAAATTCAATTTAAAAAATACAAATAAAATTTTCTGAAATGTTAGCATGTTCACCTATCTATTTAAGCTGATTCGGAGATAATTAAGGCTCTCCAGATTGACATCTCATGGGGGTAATTGGTCACTTTTCGAGTCGTTAATTGCTGTTTAAACACTCGTCATTACACACCCTGTCCTGTGTTTCTTTAATGATTTTAATTAAATGATCTTTGACTACTGTGAACTGATTATAAGATGTACCTTACCTCTTCTATCCATTGCAGTTACCTATCAAACTATATTCTAAAACAAACATCGTAAGATAAGCGATAACTCAGACTTAATTTTGATTATGGTGACAATGCGGAATGAACTTCCTTGACATCTTTTCTGATTTTTTTTTTAATGCATCTGCAACTTCAGTTTAAAATTGAAATACAATATATGTAGTATTCTCCTCATATATAAATATAAGCATAATATTACTACATGAACATCTTTATAGTCTTACTTATTCGAGTGTAGCTATGTCGAGAATTTTTGATACGATTAACCGACTAATCGGTCGGAACGTCTTGCGGTTAAGCGATTGGCAATTCTGTATTCGATTGCCATCCCTACTTATTAGATATCATTGTATAACAAATAAATCATGGTTATTTCTTGCCCAAACTTACACTGTGTTGGCTTAGTTTATAGCAGCAGTTCAGCAACAATCAGTGTTAGGAAATTAATGCAGGAAAAAAACTTGCAGCAAAGTTGAAAACAGGACAATTTGACTTTGACCTAGTCCAAAGACCATTGTTCAGGATTACATTACATTCTCTACCATAGTTTACTGTTGTAAAAAGTATGCAGTCGCCATTTTGTTTACGTTCAAAAGGCATGTGCTTTAGATAAAAAGGCAAGGAAACCAACTTGAAAGGAAAAAAGGGCAGAAGAGAAGATGAGAAATGAATTTTAATAATATGCCCTAGATTTCAATATAAAGTCTGTGAGTGTGTGTGTTTGTTAATTTTAAAGCTTTGAGTTGTAAAGAGTAATAGAGACGAGAAAGGGACAAGGCGATAGACCAACCCCTCTCCCCCGACCGATTGATCTTGAGCAATACCCCCACCTTCCCTTTGATCTCAAGCATGAGAATGTTGCAAAGGGGGGGGGGGGGGGGGAGTAACATAGCTGAGAACTGTATTACACTTTGTCAATTCATTGCTGCTGTTGTCATTTGTCATTGACATTGTCATTCATTCATTCCTCACTGACTTTGTCATTCACTCATTCATTCCATACTGACTTTGTCAATCACTCATTCCTCACTGACTTTGTCATTCATTCATTTCTCACTGACTTTGTCATTCATTCATTCCTCACTTACTTTTTCATTCATTCATTCATGTTAACAATTGCCTGTCTGTTTGTAGGTGATGCCACAACTCCTTTGCCACCTTGGTGTGGATCAAGTTGGAGACAGCATAGACTGGGGCACACTTTGTGTTTACACTTGCTCAGCAAATTGTTACCATGGTAACCAGTATCAACAAGAGTATCTTTGGAAACAGGACTATTCCAAGTAGACTCTACCAGCCACTGTGATTTCTGCTTTTGTGACCTTAATCTGCCTTTTGTTTTGTTTTTTTCTTTTTGTAAAATAAAGCTGTCATTTCTTTTAATCCCTGACATAAACTGGACATCTAAAGACTAATATTTGATGAAAATATTATTACTATATAGGGATATAATTTGATTAAAATAGATTATTCTTTAAAACTGTATTTTGATCAGAAAACATATAATAAGCAAATTGAAATGGTCAGTTCTGAAAGGTTAGCAATATTGAAATTGAAACCCAAATAAAGAAATGTTTTCCATTCTAGGTAATTCTCTAATGTTTTGAGAGGTTTTATATTATTATTGATAATTTTGGAGACAAATGAGATTTTAAAGTTTGAGTTTTCATCAAACTCTTCAAAGTGATAGGATAATCTCTGATTTAAAGTAGTTTACAAATCTCTGTTATGTAATCATCAATTTGTAGAAGTCATGCCAATCAAAGTCAAATCTGTACACATCCTAGTTGTGAAGGAAAAATATAAATATACTTTTTTTTATGGAGATTATGTGTTGAAATGTTTGATCAACAGATGTTTTATTTCAATATCTTAGTAGTTGAATTATACTGAACATTCTCAATCATACACACACAATAATTTCTGTCTCCTTGAAAGTATTAATGATAAACAAATTTTGATTAAGAGGGATGTTTGATCTGTTGATATTGAGGTTTTGATACACTGATTCACACCTGTCTGGTGGGACCTTATGTCTTTGTGGACTCCCATGTTCATTAGAGATATATACAGAATCTTCAGTAGTGTCCTGGGATTCCTTTAGATGTCTGGGTTTGTGGGGACTCTGTTGACTCCACTGTATACTAGGTAGCTCTACAGCTCCCTTTGAGGACTACTGTGTACACCTATCGGTGTGTACAGGGTAGGGACTCTGTAGATATACCTGGGTTACACCTGACTACCTGTTTTGACTGTGTTGTGTAGTAGGTACCACTACAGTTCCCTTTGAGGTCTACTGTGTACCTGTCAGTGTGTATAGTGTTGGGACTCTAGTAGCTATACCTGGGTTACACCTGACTACCTTTAACTACCAGGTGTGTTGATTGGGGGTACACACATTCACACCTCCAATGTTTGTACAATCAATCTTTTCTCATAGAAGTGTCTTAAAATTAATAAAAAATAAAAAAAAAAAAAATAAATAAATAAAAAAATAAAACAAACAAACAAAAATTGAAGAAAAATATTACAGCTCTTTTTTACAGCATTTTTTAAAAATATTTATATAATACTTGGAGTAATCTAACTTCAAATTACTTTTGTAAAAGGAAGCTTATTAAGGTATATATTAATATTTATAATTATTTTATCAGTATGTAACAATAACATTTACTTTGTAAAAAAAAAATTGGTAATTATTATAGGATCTTTTATCAGCATAAAATTCTTGTACTAACTTTCTTTTGAATTATATCAGTACACCTGAAAAGTATTTGACAAAAATGTATTGTCGGATCAAATAAAATATGCATGTTAATACTAAAATTTATTTAATATGTTTTTACATTTATGAAATAGTCACAAATAGATGAAGAATGAGATACTTTTGACAGTTGTACAAACTGAACTTATTTCCATTTTTTTTTCTTTGGTTGCATGGGGCAGGTGGGCATATCTGTTAACATTGTATTTAAATTTCTGTCATTGAAAGTAAACCTGCTACAATTGCATTTGCATGCACACTTTCCCTCTGACATACCCACAGATGGATAATACTCTGTTACTGTCATTAATTTATACTTTGTGAAGTATACAGGACTTTTTTTTTTTGCTTGTTTTGTTTTTGAATGAGTATCTGATAACTTATGTGAAATTTGTATAGGTGATGAAAACTACATAAAGTAATAAGACTGTTTTAGCTCTTTATACAGATGTTGTTGAAAGAGGCAGAAAAAACATCAGTTTGAAAGCATGTAAGTTTTCCTGCTCTGCAGTATGATTCAATGATATATAAAATGCTTATTTCTATGCATGAAAAAAATATCAAAGTAATGGTAAAATGTTTTGAGAAATTTATTTTACTGTTTTTTTCTTTTTTTAAGATTTGCATGTAATTTTTTTATTTATTTATTTATTTTTTATTTCTCTATTTTTTTTCTCCCAGAGAAAAATATAAAATATCTTGGGATTGGTCAGACTTCAGGTGTTATTTTGACTCTGATTGGTTGCCCAATTACTACTTAAGTACACAGCAGCCCAAGCAGGGACATTCACCTGGTTTACCTGACTACCAGTGACCAACACACCTGTCATCAGACGGTAAGTAGCTTACCTGTAGATATACTGGTTATCTCCCTTACTTCTGTAAAATTCCAAGTAGCAAAAGAGAGTTTTATTTGGAAAAATTAAAAGGGATGAAAAATAAATAAACATTCATTCTGTAAGATGTCTTTAAAAAAGATTACGGAAATGCATTGTAAAAAATTTAACAGTAAAATTTTCAGTAAACTTTCCAAACTTACAAATTAATGAATTATTATTGTAAGGAATAAATATGTTTTATCTTAAGGAGGAATGCCACACCAAAATTTTATTTAATACGTCTTTAAGAAATCCCTTTTAAACTATGGTTTCAGCAATGAAAGATCGATATTAGCTCTTAATTATTTTATACAATTTTTTTTGCATTTTTTTGGAAAAAGTGAAAAATGTTTTATTTGCAAATAGGATGCTTTATGGTTTAAAATTTGCTATTAATAAATGCATTATATGAATGTCTAATAAAATATGTTAATAAAGGCTGGATAAATTTTTAAATAAAAAATAATTTATGAAAATAAAAACACATAATTTATGAATATTTGTTAAACCTATGGTTAAACAGTCTAGACGAACTCCAAAAACAGCGTGAACTCCGAAAATGAAGTCTTTGGCTCCATCATGCATTGCGGCAAAATGGCGTCCGATGTAAACAAACGATGGATTGTCGTTCGCTTTCTCCAAATATATGACTGTGATTAGTGCATATGTGACTTTATTTTAATTTTTGTTGAATGGATAATTACATTTATTAAATTATTTTGTGTATATTGACTTATTTATCGCTTCAAACTCTTGCATAATAGTAAAATGGATGTATGACATCGAATTCAATACTGCCGGTAAGAATTATATTCTTATTTGATTTATTGTCTCCTTGATTTGAATTTTATGTCGTTTCTACAATAAAGGTGCTTTTATTTGTTTTTGAAAACACCCAGCTTGTATTTATTTTAATCAGAAAATGCGTATTTTTCACCACGGAGCAGAGCTATTCACAGGTTCATTTTTAGAAGACGTGTTGTGACCTTAATTTCTAGAAGAGTGGTTTTTGAAGTTTCATATTGATAGATAATAGTTTTAAAAATGTTTTCATAATAATATTTGTTTGTTTGTGATAAAAAAATCGGTAAATAACGATGGTAAGAACTTACGCGTTCAATTCAACTGTCGTACACATATAAAAAAAACCGGACTGCTAATTTATGTGTAAAATTCAGTCAAGTTTTGAACAGTTACAATATATATTGTCCCATTTTGCATATATATGCCTTTTATTATGCATATTTACTTCTCAAACGTATCATTTTCTCTGTAATTGATCTGTCTTTAAACGTCAACTTTGGAAGTAAATATCTCCTTTTTTGCAAATAAAATCAAAAATCTGACAAATACGATCTCTTCCGAAGTCTTTTATTTAGCATTTCTGAGTACTGGCATAATTGCCATACTTTCCAAAACTTTGCATGGAGAGTTTTTGTAGACCCATCATTTTTGCCGAAAAATCGCCATTTTTTGTGTGTGTGCGCATGCGCGGACTCTATTTTCGGAGTCTTTTTCAGTCTCAATTTCTTACTTCCGGAAACGCTGTTTTTGGAGTTCGTCTAGACTGGTTAAAATCTTAATAAAACTATAGTCACAACTAGGGAGAATATATTAGTCAATCATATTTTAAAAAGCAATCTTTTCAAAAGTACTATGATTGTACTTTGATTTGTTTTGATAATGTCAGAAGATGTATTAATATTATTTAAGTTTTTTAAGAATTGATGAATAATACATGTACACTGTCCTTTACTTACATTTGCATTTCTTTGACATAAGGTAATATTTAAAGTAAAATTAATTGAGCTAACATGTAATCATGCATATAGCTTTAGTGAATGAAAGTTGACCTTGGTCACAATATATCTTCTTCCTAGGAATTGCAGGTCAATTATGCTGTTATTTCCTTCTGTTATCTGCTGCATTAACGAGGTTCTTTCCTGAGTTTTTGAGCAGATTTTTGTGTAGACCTCTGTCTAAAAAATTCTGCATAATGTTTTAGGTCTTACAATAAATTTGGATTCTGCAATGCTAATTTAACTATATTCAATTAAAATCCCATGATTAAATTCCATACTGAAAGCATTAAGTTAGGAACTATATTTTGTGGCGGAAGATTTTATAGAAGAAAATGATCAATTTTTCTCATTCGAAATATTTACAGTATTGTTAAGTTTGGATTCCTATCTTTACATGCAGCCTGCACACAAAGTTATTTTGAGCAGTGAAATGTTTTATTCTGGTCCTAAATAATATATTAAATTAACCATTATGAATTCTGTCATCATATTGGACAAATATAACAAATATAAAGTGATAGTCCTGGGGAAAAAATAGCCCATTTTAGGCTAAAAATTAGCACTATTTTAGTTATATCTAAAAATTATCATCAGACCCACACTTTTAAGTTTATTTTCTGAATAAACAAGATAATTTTAACCATTCTGCTTAGACTCAGAAAAATGTCATTACTTTCAAATGATTTTATTGCTTGTTAAATTTTTAATGCCAGAAAAATGACATTTTTTGAGTGCAAAAAGGTCAAATAAATGACTATGCGAAGTAATTTGAAACTTTATTTGTTGTCACAAATTTTAAAGAGACTATTCAAGATGAAAAAAGACTGTATTTGTTCCCATAATTTATTTGGATAAAAAATATTAGAGGAAAAACTTTGAAAAATTGATTTATGTGTTAGACGTAAATACAGTGCAAAAAAGGTCATATTAAATGCTCTGTAGCGCCGAAAGAAGCACATTGACCCCCATTTTTGGTTTTGATTTTTAATTAAGCTATGTGTCTAGATTCCAAAAACATACTTGATAAAAAATTCTCAATATTTTTGATAACAGGATCCAACCTCCTTTTTAGCTCACCTGAGCTGAAAGCTCAAGTGAGCTTTTCTGATCACATTTTGTCTGTAGTTCATTTTTCTGTCTGTCTGTAAACTTTTCACATTTTCGACTTCTTCTCCAGAATCACTGGGCCAATTTCAACCAAACTTGCCACAAAGCATCCTTGGGTGAAGGGGGTTCAAATTTTTTTCAAATGAAGGGCCATTACTTAGTGAAGATTTAAGTTTGTTCAAATGACCCCCAGGAGGTATCAGGTTCATTCGCCCTATCTACCTGTTTGCATGAGTCCGTTCGCGCAAGGTCCGTTCATCAT